GAGGAAAAGGATTGTTGTTGACGTCTCGGCCTCTGCGACTACTGCGGCCAGATGTCTGCCCATGTCGCTGACAACTGCCCCAACAAGTCCAACAAGGCAAAGAAGCGCGACACTGATCACAAGGCTTCTCTCACGAAAGCGGGAAAAGCTTAACCGGGAGTCCAACCCCTGCTCTAGGGCTCCCGGTCGCCAACGCCAGGGCATGTTTGCTCCCGACCGCAACGCCCGCGTACGTTTGCGCGTCGGACAGACGTTATATACCCCAGAACTACGTTCCCTCTCCCTTTGTCTTCGCTTCCTCTACTTACTTGAACTCTCCAGACCACTTCTTCATCAATGTTTTGCTTTCCTTCCCTGGGCGCAAGCCTGTTCGAACCTTTGCCCTCGTCGACTCCAGTGCCAGCACTTCATGCATCTTGGATCGCTTCACTCAACGTCACTTGCTTCCTCGTGCTCTCAAGGACGTCCCCGTACCCATCACCGCTGTCGACGACCGTCCCATTGCCGGTGGTCTTGTCACCCACGACGTGGTGGCTCAGCTCTCGGTGGACAAGCACTCGGAGGTCATGCGCTTGGGTGTCGTATCTGTGGGTTACCCTGTTATTCTTGGTTTGGACTGGCTACGTCGTCATAATCCGCAGATTGACTGGTCCTCGATGGACTTGTCCCTCTCCTGTTGCAACCTTTGTTGCTCTGATCCAATCCGCGTTGTCGCCCAAGGCCCCGGTCTTTTGCGGCTGCCTCCGGTTTCACTCTCTGTTAACTCTTCCTCTATCGCTTCTGTCGGACTAGGCTTTGGTCTTCACGGCGAGTCTCTTCTTTCCTCTTGCTCCCCTGTTCCTTCTTCCCTTCCTGTACCTACAACCCCACTCTCCAATATATCACCTTCTGCCTCGCATGATGAGTGTTTGGCCAACACCTTGTCCCTGTGCTCATCTGCGGACTGCGCGCCATCTCCTCTGAAGTTAACTTCTTCTCCTCCGTCTTTCCTTTCCGCAATGGCTGGACTTAACGGCTTCGGTCGCTCTATCCTTAGTCGTTTGCATCCTCTTCCTTCTCCCACTCCCAACATTTGTACCCTCTCTGCCTCACGCTTCCGGAAAGCCGTGAAGAACTGTGGTATTTCACTGATCCGTTTCCACCCTGTAGACTCTCCGTTGTACCATATCGCCACCATGGGCTCGATGCCCTTGTCGCATTCCTCAGACCTCAGACCTGATGACCCTCATGACTCCTCTGCGTTGAACGCATTACCAGCTAAGTATTTCCTTTGGGCTCTGAGCATCTTTTCGGACACTGAGGTCGACACTCTTCCTCCACACTGCCTGTACGACATCTCAATCGACCTCGAGGACGGCAAGTCTCTGCCTTTTGGTCCGATGTATTGCCTCTCGCAGGACGAGCGTGACGCACTCGCCAAGTACCTCAACGAGAACCTCCAGAAAGGTTTCATCTGTCACTCCACCTCCGCCGCCGCTTCCCCCATCCTCTTCGTATGCAAGAAGTCCGGCGAGCTCCGGCTCTGCATTGACTATTGCGGTCTCAACTCCATCACGAAGAAGAACCGCTATCCACTCCCTCTCATTGACGATCTCCTCAACAGGACTCAAGGCTGCAAGGTCTTCACTGTTATTGACCTCAAGAACGCCTTCAACCTCATTCGCATCAAGGACGGCGACAAGTGGAAGACCGTGTTTCATACCCCGCAAGGGCTCTTCAAGATGCTCGTCATGCCTTTCGGTCTCACCAACGCGCTGTTGACATTTCAGGCGTTCATCCAGGATACGCTACGCGACTACCTCGACGTTTTCTGTGTTGTCTATCTCGATGATATACTAATCTTCTCTCGCTCGCAGGCCGAGCACGACACGCACGTCATGAAGGTGCTAGATCGCCTCAAGTCCGCACGTCTCTTCGCCAACCCTGAGAAGTGCACCTTTGACTGCTCCGAGGTTGACTATCTCGGTTACATCATCGGTGCCGACGGCATCAAGATGAGCCCGAAGAAGCTTGACACCGTTCATTCATGGCCTGAACCTCGCAGCATCTGCGACGTGCAGTCGTTCCTGGGTTTTACAAACTTTTACCGCCACTTTGTTCTTCATTATTCTGCTGTTGCTCTCCCGCTCACTTCTCTTTGCAAAAAGGACGTTCCCTTCGCATTTTCGGACGCTGCACGCACCTCGTTTGAAGCGCTCAAGTTGGTGCTTGCTTCCTATTCCATCCTTCACCACTACAATCCCTCGCGCCCGTGCACGCTCGCTACCGACACTTCCGACTTTGCCCTTGCCAGCGTCCTTCTCCAGCCCGATGACGACGGCGTCCTCCACCCGGTCACTTATTACTCCCGCAAGTTCACGCCGGCCAAAATTAATTACGAGGTTTACAACAAGGAGCTCCTCGCCATGGTCGATTCGTTCCGCGACATGCGTGCCTGGCTGCTCGGCTCCGCTCACCCGGTCTCGGTGATTTTGGACCACACAACAACCTCGAGTATTTCATGTCTTCTCGTGTTCTTAATCGTCGTCAGGCGCGCTGGTCGATGTTCCTCTCAGAATTTGATTTTAACCTCGTTTGGGGCCTGGGTATCAAGAACATTGCTGACGCACTGTCATGGCGCCCGGAATTTGTCCCTCGGAAGGGGGATGAGGCCTTCAAAGCACAGTTCAAGACACTTCTCAAGCCCTATCACACCCAGTTGATTTTCCCTGAGTCCACTTTACTCTCTTCTTCTCCTTCTTCTCCCCCATCCCATTCCATCTCTGCGCTCACCACCCTCTCCATAGACTCATCTGAGCTCCTTGAGCACTTCCAGCGTGAATGGGAATCCGACCACGAGTGGCGTGAAGCGCTCGCACGTGGTGATTCCGACTTCACTGCCGAACACAGCATGGTTTTCTACAAGGGGCATCTTTTTGTTCCTAAACCTCTCCGTTCAGACGTTTTGCATTCACAACACGATGCGCTCATCGCAGGTCACCCCGGTCGCACTCGCACCCTTCAACTTGTGCAGTGCAACTACTCCTGGCCTGGGCTCTATACTCATGTTCGCTGTTACGTCGAAGCTTGCAATGTTTGCCCTCGCATCAAGGCAGTTCGCCATCGCCTGTATGGTCCACTCCAGCCCCTCAACATCCCTTCATGCCCATGGACTTCTATCTCGATGGATTTTATAGTCAAACTCCCAATCTCGCACGGTTACAACTCAATTTGGGTCGTGTGCGATTGATTCACATGCGCCGCCCATTTCATTCCGTGCAAGGAGACTATTAACACTCCAGAACTTGCCTGGCTATTCCTCGACCAGATTTTCCGCTACCACAGTCTTCCCGAGTCAATCATCTCGGACCACGGCTCGGTATTCATCTCTCAATTCTGGTTGGAACTCACTCGTCTGTTACAGATTGATGCATGTAAGTCCACTGCCTACCACCCGCAGACGGACAGTCTCACGGAGCGCACGAATCAAACGCTCAAGACTTACCTCCAAGCTTATGTCTCGTACCAGCAAGACGACTGGGTCGACTACCTGCCAGCTGCCGAATTCGCGTTCAATAACGCCGAGAACGAGTCCACCAAGCAGACTCCGTTCTTCGCAATGACGGGTTTTCACCCTGTTTTCGAACCACGCATTACTGACACAGAACCTTCCTCAGTGCCTGCCGCGGCCGATTTGGCTTCACGCCTTGAGCACATACATGCTGAGTTACACGCCGAACTCACGCGCGCGCATGAGATCCAAGCACACGCATACAACTGGCATCGTGACCCCTCCCCAATGCTTGTTCCCGGACAGCTCGTGTGGCTGCTCCACCGCAACATCAAGACTACGCGTCCGGCCAACAAGCTTGATCACCATCGACTCGGACTATATCCTATCGCGAACGCAATAGGTTCACGCGCCTACAAGCTAAGTCTCCCTTCCTATCTTTCACGTCTACATCCGGTATTCCATGTTTCCCTTCTAGAGCCCTACAAGGACCCGAGCAATTTCCACCCTCATGCTGATCCCGAGCGTTTTGAGCTCTCGCCCGAGAACAACCCGGCCACCCACATTGCCGCCGTCCTGGACTCACGCAAGACAGGCCATCGCTACGAGTACCTCGTCTGTTTTGCAGGCCGTCCTGAAGACGAGGACGCTTGGGTTCCACTCACAGAACTCCCTCGAACGGCCGACGAGTTGGTCGAACACTTCCACTGTTGTCATCCTCGTGCTCCTTGTCCTTCTCGAGACGTCGTTGACCACGTCTATATGGTGATGTCTTCTCCCCCAACTTCCTCTCCTTCTCCTTGCTCTCCTTTACTCCCCGCAGACTCGACGCGTACACGCGCCACTGTCCCGCCGGCGCCATCGCATTCTCCGACTCCTCCTCCTGTTCACGAAGATCCCCATTCCAACTACACCCCACCTTCGCAGACAACACTTCACTCCGGTCGTGTTTCACGCCCCACAAACCGCCTCAACTTATGAACGTCAAGACTCGCGTTCTCACTTCAAGTTCGACACTGAAAGGGGGATAGTGTGACAGCGTAGGCCATCACAATGCTACAAAGTCTTATTGCTCATATGTAGTCAGCTGGTAGCTTTCCCTCGCAGAGGGTTTTGACGCACCCGCGCCTGTAACTGTACAGTGGCTTACTTATATTCTTACACAATTCAACGAGTAGTCGAGACATGTATCGTACTTATGTTTTCTTCTTCATCGAATCAACGCCAGTATTCGTTGCTCTCGTTACTCGCTTGCTCGCTCTGCTTGCTCTCCCCTCTGATCCCTGCCAGCACCATTACACTGGAGACCATCTTTGTTGACAGTGACTGGTGCAACCTGTGCCAGAAGCACAATCAGGTGTGGTGCATCCAGATCAACAACCTTGCCTGTACCTGGTGCAAGGCAAAGAAGACCAAGTCCAACCTCTTCAAGTCCCACAATGCCACCTGACCCTGCTCCGAGGCCACCGCTGCTTGCTACCACCTTGCATCTGGGCCATCCAAGAAGACAATGCTGGTAAACACCTCTGGTGCTGGTACCTCAGCCAGTGCAGTGGCTGGCCCTTCCGGAAGTATCACAATTTTCTGTCTGCTCCATGAGCCTTTCAAGAAGCATGAGTACATGGACCCCGGTAAGCTGCATTTGTTCACTGTTCCTCTGCCCCACCTCACCTTTGTTAGAATCCAGTGGGAAGGAGTAGTTTTCTGCAGATGTGCTGGTGGCAGACGCCAGAGACAATGACATGGAGGGGGAGACCAACCAGCAGGAGGAAGATGAAGAGGACACCAATGGTGATGAAGAGCAGCCAGAGGAGACCAACGCCAGAGACCAAGAGCATGTTGATGCAGTGGAAGCGGCAGAGGTCAATGTTCAGCTAAAAGCATTGGCAAGGTTCACTGACGACCTCTTGCGCTGCTAGGTTTCTTTTTCTTTTTATCTTCCGGACTCACAGTTAGATGATCTAGATTAAAATCTTTCATGTCAAATAGTACAGGAGTAGCCTACTAATGAATTGGGAAGTGCATCAACCTGGTGTCATATCCAGAGTCCCTTGCCTGCTACTCTTGGGCCGCCCTGACATGCACTAGGTACCCTATCCAGAAGAACCACCTGCCACCCTTGGGCCATCTTGACATGCACTGGATACCCTAGGGGGAGGAGTTCACCTATGGTGCTATGGCTGCCCTAACACGGGCTAGGTAGCCCCGTCTGAAGCTCCTCACCTGCCACCTTTGGGCCGCCCCGACATCCACCAGGTACCCTGGTCAGTGGGTTCCACCTCCTAAGGCATGGCTGCCCTGACCCACTGGTGGTTGGCATACTTATATACACACCAGGGGCAGCTCCCACCAGGCCAGAGTGGCAGTCACCTCAACACAGACTTGTAGGAGGTTGCCTACCAGGCCACCCAGCTGGTGGGTGAAGCAGCTGGCAGGACAATGTCAGTCAACTGCCAGTCACCACTGCCCCAAAATCCTCAAGTGTTTGAACCATCTGCTGACTGGACATACTCAGAGACCTGGCCTGCATATCCTGCAAGGTAATCTTATCCTGTCCTGGAACTGTCGATAAGCTGGCCGCATTGAGCAAAACTGTAGCCACAGCCTGAAGGTTCATAGCTTGACCAGAAGAGACCCAGCCATGTTTCTCTAGATGTTTCCTAGCCGCTGCTAGATCAGGGAGGTTCCATAGAGCAGGTCTACATACTGCTGGAAATGCTTTAGGGCCTTGCACTGAGGGTCCAGTGCCAAACACACCCGCTGGGGTGGGCATGGGCTGGTATGTTGACTTTTGTTGAGTTATGAGACTGCCCGCCTACTGGGCCTCCTGCTGCGTCATCATTGACATCAGCCATGGAACTACCAATCTGAACATCCAGAGAAGTATTAAACACGTTGATAATATGAGATATGAAGCTGAGAGCATATCAGGGGGCAGGACCTTATCCCGAGACTTTGGCACAAGAGCCAAGAGCTTGGAACTGTGTGTGCACCAGTGATGATGTTATGAGTGTGCTCCATCAGCTGATTGGATCCAAATGCCAGGTAACACCAGAAGAACAAGTGCGAGGGGAATCAAGATGGCAGTGACAAGGGCAATGAGAGTACCGGTGGTGGTGGTGGTGGTGGTCATGATGCAGACTGCAGCAAGAGTGAGGGAAGAGGCATGGAATTGGTGGCAGCGCTCATGAGGGTGCTGACTGAAGGGAATATGGAAGAGGGAGGGCTTGATGGTAGAAGCAGGATCTTGATGATGAGGGTGGGATGTGTGTACAAGCACTGTGTGAGCGAGAGCATGGGAAAGAGAAGGGAGTGGGAGCAGGAGAGGGAAGGGAGCGGGAGTGGGCAGGAAGGGTGGGAGGAAGGGGTAGGTGGGATACTTGGTGATATAGTGGGAATGTCTGACAAATGCTAATGACAGCGGCTTTGGGCAGTTTGGACTGTCAGAGCTTACCAGCATGATGTCATAGCCAGGCCAATAACGGGACAGGGGAGGGAATCACCCAGAAGGACAAGTCTTACTCACAGGATAAAAGCCTTAGGGATTTGGAGAGTTAACAAAGTTATCACAAAGTTATCCAGAATATTATTCATAGTGGTGGAAAATGATGGGAAGGAGCCTAACAGGGGAGACATGACCCGGGTGGAGCAACAGCCTAATTAAGGCCAGTTGCCATGATGATGGGGTGCTATCTCTTGTTGGGTGCAATTGTAGTGCCTAAAATATGAATGACTGACCAATGGAGGCATGCGTGTCACTTCATGCAGCCAGACCAAATCTTGGAAAAACCTTTGAGACACTTAGAAGGATTGACATTGTGCGTGGAATTGAGGAGGCCGCGACTGTTGATGATAACCTTGGTGATATGTTTGATCATAGCTTTTGACAATAAGATTGTGGGACTGCAGACGTGAAATCATGCAAATACTCACTGAGATACATGCAATGCATGAAATCTATGGAAGCACTCCTCCCAGGTGTCCATCCTGCTATATAAGTGAGGGGAGTCCATGAGATGCCTCAGTGTTCTTGGATGATCTGATCAGCCTGTTTGTTGGAGTCTCGAGCGCAAAATGAGTACTTGAGGTGTTGCCACCCCTCTTGAGACTCGAATACAGCTGGGTCAAACCCTGATGGGTGTGCAAGTGAGAATGACGTGGTTTTGCAGAGAGAGCACATGAACAACTTGGAGGAGTGACTTTGATAGCTGTCATTTTGTGACTTGAAGGAAGATCCGAGCAACTCATCCAGAGACTAGCATGTACAAGCTCGAGTAATTTGTTGTTGAATATCTTGAAGTCAACACGACTGGATAGCTAAAGCATGCTGTTGACAAAGAGGTCCATTAGGTTATTTAGTTGTGCTAACATTGGCTTGTGAGGACCGGGTAAAACCATTAGCAGCATAGTTTCTTCAGTGAGATATTGTATGTTTCAAGGGTTGTTGCAGAGGACAGCGTAGAAGGCACCTGTTGAGTGGCAGTCACAATTAGTGGATTGGAACTGAACTATATTACAAGTCCACACAGCAACAAAACAAACCACTGGTTGAGCTCGTGCACGTCCACATCTTCTATACTAAATGCCCTGCCGTGTTGGCTCTGCAGTCCTGCCTGTATAGCCTGCCACCCCCATCCATCATATATGTTGGTCATGGGTGTGTGAGGGTCTGGAACACATTGTATCCTGTAGCAATAGATGGCAGACAAGGTCCTAGTTGATTGCCTGGACCTCTCCAGTGCTGCAGCTGCTCCCACTTCCCAGGTCGAAGCAGGAGCAGTTGGATTGCACATTCAAGGGGAATATATGGAACTGTTTTGACAGGTGTGTGTTTGAGCTGACCATTAGCTAGCCTTTTCTCTCTGTATATGACACCCAGACAGTTGTTGACAGTGCAGCCTGGCAATGTGAGATCGGATATTGTGAATGGATGGTGTACTACCCAACAGACATTACATATGCAGAGGTAGACAATGAAGTCATTCATTGTGAGACCAAGTTGTTTGAGAACTATTGGTACTGTATGAATGAAGTTGTTGAGACCTGGGTATTCATCTTCAGAATGTTTGGCAGCTGCTTGACTGATGGTGAACCACAGACCTTCAAGCACATTGTGAACTGCACTATGTGTGGCCCCATGACAGACAATTAGAATGAAGGCTCAAATGTAGGTGTTACAAATTTCTGGGTGGTCTTGAAACACTTGGGGTAGTTTGTTTTGATAGAACTCGAGCTCATCTTCTTGAGAGAAGTTGAATGTGTTGTCAATGGGAACATGTAGAGCCTCCTCAAGGTAGTCTTGATGCTCTGGGTTTACCTCTTGTTTCTCACCCTGCTCTTCCTCCTCTTTGCTAGCCTCAGAATCAGGTGGTGGGGTCCTAGCATGCATGAAATGTCAAAATACATCATTGTCCTCACTCAGATCACCTTCGTCATGGTAGTCAAGTGTTGTGTCATGCTGCTGCTGTAGCAACACCTCCCACTCTAAGTGGTTGTGCTGCTACATAATCAGTGTGAGTGGACTCAGTTTATTATCATGCACTGTGATACCACGCACCTGCACCACCTCCTCAGTGTGGTTCTCAGCCATGTTCTCATTTGCTCCTCTCTACTCTTCCTTGTCCTCTTCCTGCTCTGCTCCCCAGTCTTCAATGTCCTCTGGTACTGCAAACTCTAGTAAATCTTCTGCTCCGTATGTTTCTTGATTGTAGTTCTGACCGCCACCATCCCTTGAGAGCATTACATGCAGCTTTGTTGGCATCCAAGAGTGTCAACCTGGCTGTGTCGTAACACGGTCCTTGGTTGCTGAGGTGTCCAGCCAAATGGATGTTTGCTGCACCCATGCAAGCAACAAGAGCACCAGCCAGTTGCCTTGCAATGAATCAAATGGCCAGCCATCCTCTGTGTCCCTCAAATGACCATTCTCACCTCAAGATGTCAGTGACCGTAGCTGGAGAGGATTACAAGTGGTGCACAACTAGGGGCTAGCACAATTGATGGTGCATTAAGTCTGTATACATACGTAGATGCTAACAACTAGTGTAGAAGAGAAGCTGCACGTGATGACACCATCATGTGTGACTGAGCTAGGACACAGCCTTACGAGGAAGTTGATTTATCTATGTGGGCTGTTAGGCAGCTAGTGATATAAATGCAGTCATGTACACAGTTGCACTCTAGCTGCTAGTTTTCAAATTGAATGTCCAGTAAACTATAGTAGTACTTGCAGTACTGCTTTTAAGTATGACCTTGGTAATATTTTCTCCACATCAGTAGCAGTACTTTTGGATGAAAATGTGATATAAAATGTTGGTAGTAGCACTTGTGATACTACTTTTTAGGAGAGCAATGGTAGTACTTTTACACAGAATTGATAGCACTTTTGAGCAGAACTGTGGTATTACTTAGGGTAGTACTTCTCTTGGTACTGCTTTTGCATCAGCTTTTGCCCCCATTCCCACCCCAGCCACAGGTAGTACCTTGAAGTCAGACTGTGGTAGTAATCATAAAGCTTTTCAAACATTACTGCCATTTTAAAGAAAGTACCATAAGCCATCAAAGCATTTTTCTGTTGGTAAAGGTAATACCATGGTATTATCAGGTAGTACCTTGATTTTTATGGGTACTACCTAGTATTTTGCAGTCAATTCTCTGTTAAGGATGTAGTACATGAAGTAGTACTTTATCCACTAGAATGTGCTATTGCAACACAAGGTAATACCTTGCTAATACTTCATACAAGATACAAATGATCAAATTGACCAGATTAATCAGTTCTCACAATCACCACATTAACTTGATCAACTTGATCAACATACCAAGGACCAATTGACAGCATTTCAACCACTCAAATTGCCAAATTATTCACACTTACAGATTGATCAATTTATCCTACTTGTTTTTACCGTGATTTTGGTGTCAGTTACTTCAAAACAGATATCATGCTTTTGCCATGTGTTTAGCAGGAAAACAGGTGTAAAACAGCCTTTGGCCAACATGCAAACAAGTTACTGACGTTTGCGTTTGGCCTTGCCAACGCGAAAAATAAAAATAAAAATAGATGCTCCACAGGTGCACCAAACGTGCGCACGCCAAGCCTATTTGCAGGTCCGGCAATGACCTGCGCCTGCACACTTCTCGACGCGGTCTTGGACACCATAGTGTAGGGCGGGCATTTGTGAAACCTGCGATACACATCCAAATGATGTGCAAGGGGACCTACGGTAGAGAAGTTGAGGTTTTTTGTGCTTTATCATTGTTAAAAATTGATTTTTATGGCTTACTGCCATAGTCGGTATTTTTCGATTTTTAATTTTGCGTCGGCAAGGCCGAACGCAAACGTCAGTAAGATATTTTGCAAAACATGTTGAATGTTTTTCTCTTTTATTTTTGCATGATTTTCCCACTGTATATTTGATTGATTTTATCCTTATTTTGGGTGAGAAACAATGGTTCAAATATAGTAAATGTTTCTGGCATCTTTTGTTGCATGTTTTGGCCAGAATCATTGTCTAATGCCCCCAATGATAATTTACAGTCCGACCTCATTCCAATTCTAAGTTCAAACTCCCTGTGGACTCAGAATTAGAATAAAGCTCTGGCCGTGTTGTTTGTACCTCTGTCGGTGGCGCCAACCGTGAGTCATGACGCGATGGACCTGAACCATCAGTTCCTAACATGTTAAAGTTCACGTTCACATGTGGTTATATACACAAAAGTGTGCTAATGTACAGCTAGGTGTGTGTTTGTGTATAGTGGCTTAGGTAGTGACTAGTGACCTAACAGTCATATAACCCGATGCCATTCTCTGCTGACATGAAATACTCTGCAGCCGGTCTCTAAAGTAAGTCCAACAACATGCTCAGGACAATTCAATATTGAGCACGCTAAGGCTGTACGCCGGTGCAGTGTAGTTGAACGCCTGTGCAATAGTCACGGCAGTCGTTGTAGGCGTGACGAGGTTCGGGTTTGTCGGTGTGTTGCTCGCAGTTGGGTCACCAGTTAGAACTGTGACAGTCGCAGATGACGAAACGGCAAACGGAAGCTGGAAAGTCACATCCTCTGTTGTGTTCGCATAGTTGACGAGCTGACAATGGCGCCAATTTAATTACGTGTAATAAACGTAGTGGCTGGTAAAGACATACCTTGATGGCGAGCGTACTGGAGTCGCTTGTCACACTCCAGAAGACAGTGCCACTCGGATCGGGCAGCGTACTAGGCAAGTATTCGGTGCCGCGGTTGAGACTGAAGAGCTGTGGTTGCATATGTCAGGCCATACATTGCTACGAGATGGATTGCTATAGGCACACCTGCTGGACGTAGAAGCTCGTTGACTTGTAAGCATTGGCGGCGCTAGGAATGCACATAAGCCAAGTGAACCACCAACTGTATTAGGCTACATACTCGAACTCAACCAGGTTAGGTGTCTGGGTTGAGGGATGGGCTAATCAATCGGTCTGCGGTGTGGCAGAAGTTTTGTGTGCTTACCCACTGGTATGCGCCATCGGCGACGTTCTGGAGAAGTCGTCTCAGCGAACACTACTTCTGGATAGAGGATCCATTGAGTGCACTTACCATCAACAAAGGTGCATATGATGCAGCAAACACAATGTCTGCATTGCGCTCAAACCCAGTCATATACGCAGCCTCGCCGATACTGCCTACAGAAACACATTTTAGACGTGATGAGACAATGATTTCATCCCTACGCACCCTGAATAGTAGGGTACATCAAGCGGCCGTCGGCGGTAGTTCCGTACAAGTCGCTGGCATTGGTGGAAGTCACAGCATACTCTCCTTGGAAGTAGTATGTGCCATTGCGCTGATATTGGTGTCAGGTCTGCCTATTCGCGTTAGATAATTGACGAAGGTACCTCAAAGTCGTCATAGTAGAATGAGTTCTCGGCGAACCAGTCTAAAGTGCTCGTCAGATATCAAGCCTATGGAACCGAGGCGAAGAAAAACAAACCAGGAGTTTGATAGACGTGGTTGTCATACTGCTGCGGTGTGGGATCGAGGATGGGATTGAACGGGTAGGCGGTCGCAATGAACTCTACAAGTCACCAAATACTGAGACCCTGAACCAAGACAACACGATCGAGATACTTACTGAGCTGGGGGAACGCGGCGGTGAGGTTTCCCGCAAAGTCTCGCCAGCGGTAAATGTACGACTCTGATGCAAAGAAGTCCTAGAAAACTCAGGTCAGCTGAACCGGAACACGTTTGGTTGGTCATAGATTGCAGTCAACTGACCTCGTTTCCGACTTCCACATATGTAAGTGAGAAAGGCTCTTCACGCCCAAGAGACGCGCGAAGGGCAGCTACAGAGGCCCATAATTTGAGCAACACATTCACATGTATGCAAAGTAGGCTCACCTGCTGAACTATCAGAGGGATCACCAATCACAAAGTTGATCTGTTCACGATTACATGAGCAACGTAATATGGCAAAAAGAGACCCGTACCAACCTGATCAATGGCTGCTTGGATGTACGGCGCGAGCTCGTCCTCGGGAAGGGATGTGCCGTCGAGTGAATAGCCTACAACATCATGAGCCTGGCAGAGAATGACGAGGCCGGCGCTCACCAGCCCAAACGGCCATGAACGGCTCCATCTCCATATCCTCGCACCAATACAAGTACTCCAAGAGGCCCAGGCCACTAGAACAACGTCAGCTGCCGTGAACGCTTCCTTTGAAGACGCATACTTACTCAGTGTTGATGTAGCCCCAGTCACCGACACGACCTGAATGGCTTCGTCAGTCTATGATATGAAGGAGGGACCCTGATGGCGTACCAGGTCTGTCGACTAGAGCCCCGACAGTGTTGTTCCAGATCCATCGAGTGGCGGCACTCTGACCCTCAAGGTTGTTGCCTCCGGGAAGGCGGAAGAACGAAGGCTTCATGGAATACAGCGCCTATTAAACGCGCATGAGTAATATTTGAAGCGTGAGCAACGCGATATAGCGTGCCTCGGCAACATCGATTCTCATACCGTTCGCCCTGTTCTTGAACGTGGGTGGGAAGAGCGAAAACATAGCAAAGTTGATCGTGTTGCCAGCAGCGGACGAGTTGAACGTGACGGTGAAGTTATTTGCGGTGCTCGACGGTGACGTGCTCGGTGTAAGTTGCGCGTAAACCTGCGTCCACGTCGTCTGGGAGCCGCTGATAGGGATCTGCGCGGACGCATAGACCTCGCCGGATGCGCTTTGAAGTGCGACAGTGGCGTCACCGCTGAAGTCAGACGCCTCGGGGAAGCGATAGTAGAAGGAAGCGTTGTACGTCCAAGAGGAATTGACGTTGATACCTATACAGCATCAGCAAAAGCTCGTTCACTACTTCAGAGAACTCGAGCTCACCATAGTAGCCTTCGTTTCCAAATCCGACTGAACCAGATGCGCCCGATGGGATGGTCAGCTGTAAAGAGTTCGGCAGCGCAGATGACACCGGGTCAGAATCGGCAATGACAGTGATGTTTCCTCCGTTGACAGCAGCCCATGCATACAATGCGGTTGCATCGCCTGCAAATATTGGTATAAGATGTTAAAAACAATTGAGTGTAAGTGCTTTACCAGGCGTTACTTGCTGGAAAGCACGGTTCTGCAGCACTAGAGCGGGATAGTCTAATTATGACGATCAAGTGAAGGAACTCTATCGAGCACGTACACTCGGCGTACAAACCACCATCTCCGCCCTTTTTCGTCGTGAGGTCATATGCGTCAAAATCTCAGCTAATGAAACCTACATGCTACACACACTATAAGCCCGATGTTTGTGCAAAGTTAAGGCAAGGAACAGCTTACATTGATATCCTGAGGAAGTGAATATTGCAATGGAGATCAGCGCTGACTAGAAATCAATGTCTATGTTGCGAACCTCAAACATCTGTCCATCTGGAAGTACGTTAGCATGGTAAAAATAACCCTCGGATGGAATTGACGTACAAAGCGTAGAAGGGATAGCATGACTTGCCGTGCCGTTGACCACAACGGTCGTTGCAGCCAGTGCCGCAGTAGCAGCACCTAGCAAGGCAGCAGCACGTCCAACGCGTCCTTGGAGCATGTTTTGTCCGATGGAGAGCGTGAGGGAACCATCGACAATGTATAAAGCGCACCAATTTATACTGCAAAGTGCCGTTTTACGGTCCGGGAGGCTTCCCCGCGCACCTCCCGAAAATACCGCCCCAGATCCTCTGACGTACGTCCCAGCTGCTACGACAATGAGGAAATACATTTCTTCCCTGAGCCGCACGCGGTTCGCGCACACATGACCTGCGCAGTCTCATGCATAACGGCGCTCGTGGGGGCGTGTGTAAGCTCAGTAGGATCTGTGCGCCCAAACGGCAATTAGAGTCCCGTGAACGAATGTGGGATCACGGGTGGTTGCCAGTCCGGAAAATCCTATCATTCAGCAAGGGCTGAGGAAGACGATGATCGGGTTGCGTGTGCAGTCAGTAGGGGGCAGCAGGTAATCCACCGCGCAAGGCGATGGCACGCACAAGAAACTGGACGATAGGTTGAAAGAGGTAATAATGGTGGGATCCTACCAAGCACGTGCAGTGAGTAGAATGACGACACCCCATCAAGTGAACGCCGGTTGACCGCATCTACATCCTGGACCGCTCCGCGGAAAAGTTCTTGCTCCCGACATAAATGGGATTTCAATCGTGCTTGTACTTTAATTAGCGATTCAAGGAGAGGAAATCTCACAGTGAGAGTGATTCAATGGCGGTAAAATGCAGTACCTTTGAAGGGCGCCGATCGAGAGACTGAAGACAGTGAGAATAAACGGAGGGAGAAATAAATGCTGTTGCGGGTCCGACGACAGTGTGGACAAGAGACACCCAAGACAAGTCTTTGCGATCAGCTAAACTCGAACAGATCGCAAGGGCATAAGTTCTCTGAGTGAATTGGGATCCAGCCCTTGTGGTAGATCTAAGCTATGTGCGATGAGTCGGTTAGTGGCTCTAAGGCAATAGGGTCACTTCTCTAACGATAGAACCTGGCGAGAATTTGTATGCCAAAGGTGTATAGCCCCCCTTCCGCAGGAATGCTGGGTCGCGCGCTTCTCGTGATCCGAGTTTCGCAGTCAGATTTCCAGAGCCGATAAAAACGAAGGCCACGCCCAGGCCTCTGAGTTCCTGAAAGCTAGTGATCTAAAAGACACTAAATGGATGGAAAGAAGTTGACCGTTCCCTCGGAGGTCGAGGTTGGGGAAGCGGACCGGGGCACCAGGGAGCCACCGGTAACATCGCGTCTTGCTTGGCGAAGGTCAGCACGCCCACGTAAGAAGGGAAAAAGTAGGCATCTAGTAGGCAGAGGGATGTATGAGCTTTTCTGGGTTGGCATACGGCGATGCCCTTTGCCTCCAATCACAGGAGTCTGATTAATGTGGGCGACAGTAAAAACTTCTGTTGACTATCTTGCCCTGAGGGAAGATGAGTGCGAACATTGATATTATATCACTAAGAGGAACTCGGTAAAGTCTATGCTGGTTGAGGTGTTTCTACAGTCCGTTTGACAGCAGACGAGGGTGGAACAATGGGAGTTTCGGGAGTAATGAGCAGACGACCAAGGCGTGGGGGAGTTTGACGAGCGATGAACTCCATCTTTGTGGGGAGCTTGTCCGATGCCTGGCGCAAGGCTAGAAAAGAGGGAAGTACATGAGCGGGTTAGGTTGACCAGACGGTTTAGGAGCACACCTTCACGTGCGATCTCCTCACGGATAGGCACTCCGCCAACCTCAAAGATGACACGGCCGGTAGGTACCCTGTAGCAAGGGTTACTAAAACCGACGACTGACTGTAGTAATAACATACCACGTCGCCCAATACTCGAACGTGCCCTTACCCTTGCCCATACGCGTTTCACTGCCCTATAGTTTGAGCACTTTAGTCAGCACTCACTTTGCATATGTATAGCTCAGTAAATAGTCACAGACCTTGATGCAGACTGGGATGTCGGGGAAGACCCTCATGAAGCACTTTGAGCCCTTTATAGCCTTAATTTTACGCTTGATGACATCCTGAGCCGTCGACAGTTGCTTGGCCGTGAGGCGTACACCATGCCCCTTGATGCGAATTCCCCATTCTCCGTAAGCTAGAGTAGTACCCTTGATCGAACCGCCTATTGGGACTGGCACGCGTCCTTTGTGACGCTTTGCATAGAGAACATGCTTCGGAGCGAGCTGACCCGCAAAACGCGCCCCGAGGGCGTTCGCAGCATTGAAAGCGCCGACTTTGATACCAGAAGGAGCGGTGGAAGATGTCGTGGACGTCGAGCGCAACAAAGACGAGCGCAGGCTCGCGAGCGAAAACATGGTCGGACAGAGGAAAGCGGGGGACCCCGGAGCGACGACGCGACCTCGGTCATTGGCAGCGGCAACCGGGGTCCTACCTTAGCACCCAGAGTCGCGCTCTGGCTCAAGCTTGACTGTTGTCGTCGTCCACCAACGTCCACTCCCTTTAGCTCGCCGCCACGACCAGCGACAAAGACATGAACAAGCGACCTGTAGATCCAAACGGCGAGTCTTCTGTAGCCAAGAAACTCAAAAGGTTTGCTATTGTATCTCCACATTGGGATGTATGCTTACTCCTCTTCTCGCAGTGACAACGTGAGTGCTTTCCCTGTCCTTCAAGGTGAATTCACCGTTTGGTTTTCTGACGTCGCTATAACCCTTTTCATCCCCCAACAGACCTCCCCAAATGGCTCATCCTCTACCTCTAGTGTAAGTATACTATTTCGCACCCTTTCTTCTCTGGGCTCAACAAATGTTCTAGTTGTCAGTAGATGAGATCGCCCGCAAGCGTGCAGAGGTCTTGGCCAAGGTTGCTGCCATGAAAGGCGGCCCGGCTGCTAGACTCCCTGCCTCAGCATCTGTCTCTGCGCCGTTTACGCCCTCGACGCCTTCCCCGGGTCCAGGGGACTCTCATTCTGGCTCGCCCGCGCCAAGTTCCGGTGACCTTGCCAGACGAGTTGCAGAGGCGCAGCGTCGTGTATCAGAGGCACAGGCAAAACTCGCTGTCAAGGATAACCCTTACATGGTATGTGGTCCCGTCTACTTCCTGTCGTCGGTATTGATTTTTCCTTCAGTCGATGCCACAGCTCAGTAAGAGGAATGTCCGCAAGCCCGCTGAGCCCGTTCAGCAAGGTGCAGGCCTCAAGATGACCGCCCACCCACTCCTTCTCGACACTACTCCTTCTGCGCCTCAGTCTAAGAAGGACCGATATAAGCCCATGCAACCGAAGTTTGCCTCAATCAAAGTACGTCTGCTAGCCCACTTGCCCTGCTGTCTCCCAGCGTCTCACGCTTTACACAGGCAAACATCCGAAACGCCCCAACACCGCCCCCAGCACCTACGCCTACCCCCATCCAAGAGGACAAAGCCAACCCCTACGCCGCAGGCTCAAGCGTCGCCGCCGCCAAAGAAGCCAGCGGATTCGAAGGCGCCCCCAAGGAGCGCAATGCGCGTAACTTCCGGTTCAATCCCAAGGGCAAATACGTCTCAATGGGTAACCAGCTCCGCCAGGAGCAGCAGCTCGAAGCGCTCAAGGCGCGCATCGCCGAGAACGCCAAACGTGCTGGCCTCGACGCCGAGTTCGAGACACTCGAGACGCACATCAAGCGTGCGCCGCCGCCCGAGGCAGAGTGGTGGGACGTGGCTCTGCTCCCGAACAAGAAGTACGAGGACATCGAACTTGGGATGGCTGCGCTCAATATCAGGCGCGACGATTCGCCCATCACGCTTTACGTCCAGCATCCCATCCCTATTCCTGCCCCTGCTGACAAGAGTCAGCTGGCTCTCAAGCCACTGAAGCTTACGAAGCAGGTGAGTTGCGCACGTCATATTTTCAATAACAGTTATAATCTGACTTTGAACAACAGGAGCAAAAGAAGATGCGTAAGCAACGGCGACAGGCAGAACTCCAGGACAAACGCGACCGCGTTCGTATGGGTCTCATCCCGCCTGACGCGCCCAAGGGTGGGTCCAAACACCTACCTCAGCGTATTCTATGGACTAATGCTTTTGCTTTAACAGTCCGCCTCAGCAACCTCATGCGCGTGCTTACTTCCGATGCGGTGCAAGACCCAACGCGCGTCGAAGCCCGCGTCCGCCGCGAAGTCGCAATGCGCAGGCACACGCACGAGAAAGCCAACGCGGAGCGCAAGCTCACAGACGACCAGCGCCGCGAAAAGATCGAGCAGAAGCGCGCCGACGAGGAAAAGAAAGGCATCGCCGCCGCCGTATTCAAGTGCGTATTCCCCCTTCCCCACCTCCCTTCCCCCTCACTCATCCACGTCCCCCAACTACAGAGTCAAAAACCTCTCTGACCCGGCGCACCGCTTCAAAGTCCGCAAAAACGCAGAACAGCTCGGCCTCACCGGCATCTGCCTATTCGGACCCTCCTTCGCGCTCGTCTACGTCGAAGGCGCCACCAAGTTCCTCCGCCGCTACAAGAAACTCATGCTGAACCGCATGGCATGGACCGAGGCCGCCCGGCCCCGCGGCGGCGAAGCCGAGATCGACGAAGGCGACGCTTCAGACGAGGACGGCGATGCCAGCGCTGATGTGCCTCCTGCAGCAGACGACGCCAAGGGCAAGGCAAAGGACGAGGGCGAGGGCAAGGGCGAGGCAGAGGACGCGAGCGCCTCGTTGGTGGACAACGCGTGCTACATGGTGTGGGAGGGCCCCGTGCGCGAGCGTGCGTTTCACCAGTTCCGGCCTCGCGCATGCGGTACGGACGCTGGCGCGAAGGAGGCGCTCGGCTCGCGCCTGGCGGGATACTGGGATATGGCGAAGAACTGGCGTCCGGAGGATGAGGAGATGTACTAGGTTGACGTACCTGTGGACAATACCTTCCGCTGCATAATGTTCGCGAGGGTGATTCTAGTTTGCTCAGTCTTATAGCTAGCCTTAGTGAAGATGGGCATGCAATAGTCATAATGTCATCCATTGCGTCCAGAAATGATATGGTACTAGTGTAAACGGTCGATGTAGCGGTATCAAGAAAATTCGTAAGGGGAGCCATTAGAAGAAACCATTAGGACCGACAGATCAGCGAGAAACCGTCCACCTGCCACATCCTCGATCCAATAACAAAACATGAGCAAGTAATAGTCTAAAATATAGTCGCCAACGCCGCCCCGTCCCCACCATGCCCATGCCCATGCCCCATCCCATCCAGCATCTTCACCCCCGGCCCGTTCTTGCCAAACGTAAAGCCGACCCACACACCCCTCGCCTGGGGATCATCCTTCTCCCTGACCTTGTCCACATTCCGCTGCTTCTCCTTGACCTCCGCATACTTGGCCATGTCCTCGGGCGACGTGAAATCGTCGTAGTAGCCCGTGTCGATCTCGGAATCGAGCGCAGGCACGAAGGGCGCGTGCCCAGCCCGCATGTCCTGCCAGAAGACGCCCTCGAAGAAGGGGTGGTTCATCACCTGCGAGAGCGTCGAGAAGCGCGCGCTCGCGTGCGCGATCAGCCTGCGAGCACATTCATCATCAGATTATCACGTCTGCGCAATATCCTTCAAGAGATATTACCTCGTAACCGCATCCCAAGCCACGTCCGAAAGATTAAAGATCAAGTCCTCCGGCTTATCGTACTCGGGCCTGCGCAGCACCTTAGTCCAGTTCTTGAGATTCGTCCACGTTTCTTCGGGCGTGCCGCCGCTGAACGGCGGGAAGCCCGCGAGAAACTCAAAGAAGATGCAGCCGAGCGACCAGTAGTCGACCGAGTACGTGTACGGCTTCCCGCGCAGCACCTCGGGCGCCATGTAGTCGGGCGAGCCGACGATCGAGTCAGCGTACCGCGGGTCCTCGTTCCGTATCGAGCGGTAGAGCGAGCGTCGCTCAAGTGTCGACCGGATGATCACCTGGTTGTCTTTCACCTTGTCTAGCTACCAGCGGGAATAAGCATCGCGAAAGCTAAGTGCGTGAAACATCCGTGCTCACCTTGACCTTCATCGACTCTATCCTTCTTGGGTTGAGAGCACCAGTGGCAAGGCCGAAATCGGTCAACTTGACGTGTCCGCTGGCATCAACAAGGAAGTTCTGGAGGACAGCATTGAGACAATCAATGATGCATCAAAAATTGGAAACCCACCTCGGGCTTGAGATCACGATGGATATACCCCAGCTTGTGCAGCTCGTTGACACATACGAACATCTCACAAATGTAGAACCTCGCATGCTCCTCCTTCAAGACTCCAGAGTTGTTCAACAACGTTCGGAAATCGCCTCCAGGGACATACTCCATGGCTAGGTACACGTGCTCATAGTCCTGGAACGCATACAGGAGCCGAACGAGCCATGGAGTCTTGGTCGCCGTAAGAATGTCGCGCTCTACCAGGACATGACGGACCTAGCCAGACATCAGCCTGTCAAACCAGAACGAAACAAAGTCAAAGTTCCTGACCTCGTCCATCTTGGAGAGCGTCCGCTTCTTCATCTTCTTCAGCGCACACACCTCACCCGTCTCGCGCTTACGCGCCAGATACACCTCACCATACCCACCCTGACCGACCTGCGCGATGATATGAAACTGGTCGAGGCGCAGCTTGGCACGCCGCTTGCGGAGCAACACACGCTCTCTGCCGCAGTACGACTTGAACTCCTTGTTAAACTCGGACGAGCTGATATGGCGCGCCGCCGTGTCCTCGTCAAACTTGGTGCGCCGGTCCTTGCGCGCCGAAATGTACCCGAGCAGCTGGAAATAATAGTCCAAGAAATCTATACATGACCCAAAAACTATTTAGCCTAAAGTTTACGTCAGAGGGACAGTACACGCACACAGCTGCGCAACAGTGGCCTTGCGCTTGACCTCTGAGCTCTGGAGCAGCTCGCGCTCCCAGCCCTTGAACCCGTGGCCCTTTGTCGTTGTCGTGTTTCTGGTGGTGATCATGGCGACATCATCCCGCCACTCGTCGTCCTTGGCGGTGTTCATATAGTACTCGGGTATACCGGATGTGTGCTTGGCTGTATCCATGTGTATATCACGCAAGAGCGGGTGGTCGCCCTTGGACGGTGTGGGGAGGCCTGCCATTGTGCTCGGCCTGTCCTGGAGGGGTGGGGAGGATGTACGAGGAGGCGATGGGCTGAATCAAGGAGCGATCTGGGCTACATGGAAATCGGTCAGCTACTTACATACTAACTAGTAATCGCTAATCGGGCGCCAATGATAATATTAAATGATACGATCACGTGAACTAATAACGCGCTCATCAACTTGACATTCTCTTGCATAACTACAACCACCAACACAATGCCAACAGCCATCCGACCAGCCCACATCGACCTCGCCTCCATCCTCGCCGACCCGAACCCCCAAATCGACCTCCGCCTCCAAGCCTTCGATGTCTCCACCAACAACTTCGTGCGCGCAGTCACCAACTACACCAACCGCGCAATAACAGAAATCAGCAAACACCGCAACGCGCAGGCCTCCGACAAGAAACGCATCCTCGAACGCGCCCAGGCCGTCGAGGCCGACACAAACCAATGCAAGCTGCGCGAGATTGAGCTGCTCGCTGGTAAGTCACCCCCGTCTTCGCTTCGTACACGCGAATCGGAGCTGTACTGAGTCGGCCAGTGATGAACAAGGAGCAGGACGAGAAGCGCGAGTCCGAGCAGTCCATCGCAGCTCTGAAACGCCAGCTGGCCTCTATCCGCGAGAAATGCGCCTCATTCGACACCGAAATTCAACAATACCGTTCTGCCACAGAGGTGGTCCGTCGAGGTACGCCTTTCCTGTAATATAACGTCGTTAGAGGATACTAAATTCCTCCCCAGAGAAGGAGGAAGAACGCCGAACTCTCGAGTCCTACGCCTCAAGCACCACTCCAGAGCTCGCAGCCTGTGAAATGGTCCTCGGGTGCACAATTACAGGCATCGAAACCGACCGGCTGCTCATCCGATTCGCGCACTTGGACCCCGCAAATCCCCAGAGGATTTGCGACTTTGTACTCGACGTATCCTCACAATCCTATAAAGGTGAGTCTGTTCCACCCTCCATACAAGAAATGCTAACATTGGACTTTATCTGCCAAGTCCCGACAACGACACCTTCACTACCCGACCTTCCCATCTTGCTCACCGAACTCAATGAGACGAGGAACATATTCCGCTTCATCCGACAAATGCGACAATCCTTCCTCTCACTTTACCAAGACGACGCTCAATAGCTCATGCATTAAACGGAACATACTCTATGTTTATGGTACTAAACGTGCACCTTCAAACCCGCTTTCATTTATCATTTCGCAGACATAGCAAACGTGCATTCTTCAACGACTCTCACCACGTATCGTCACTTGGCTCGTCCCACCCCGTCTTGTCTCTGATTCCACCCGCGCTGCCCAGCTTAGTCTTATTCCTCGACTTGCGTCCTCCCAGCTCCTTGTACATCTCCCGCATCTCCACCTTGCCCGGGCGCGTCGCCGCCACCTCCTCCTGCCTCCACTTCTCCTCGTTGTAATCTTTCGGCGTATAATAGCCCGACGATGTGGGCGACGACCGGCCCGAGCCACGAGAGCGCGAGGGTGGCGGGCTGGACGGCGGCGACCGGTTGACGATGGACTGGTGATACATATTTATCTGCAAAAGTATCAGCATCCGTTGCGGAGCGGATCCGGGACACCGGAACACCGCAGTGCACCAATCACAACTTACCCAATTCTGCTTGGACTCCCGCCTCGTCCACTTGCCCGGCGGCAAATCGTCATCATGGAAATGCTCCTTTCTATAATGCTGGAACCAGACTAAGCAAAACAGGAGCAACAGTTTTGTGAGTCAGAACCACGAGCGAAAGGACGCCTGTTACATACTGTAGTTGATCGACTGGCTTTTGTACCATTTTCTCGAGACCCTCGCGCAGCGAGCAAGATCCCGTATCGAGAGATGTCTGAATATCATCTGATTGACCGTAGTCGGCAGGGCCTTGAGTGGATCTGACGATGGAGTGCTGGATGTGGGCGTCAACCGGGCACCGAAGCCCCGCCGTGTTGGAGACTGTGGCCTTGACGAAGGTCTTGACGGTGCGCGGGAGCGAGCTGGGGTGCCTGGCATTGACATCTCCAGTGATGCGTAAGCCACGCACAAAGAGAATAAATTAAGGTGTACTTACAACGTTGATGAGCTCATCATCTGAATCATCGCGGAGGTCAGCAGTGGATCCTGGGGGACTGAGGCCCGAGCGGCTGAGCGCATCGGCGGTGTTTGACTTGAGAACGCCCTGTAAAAGACTCATCGTTTGTTCTGGATGGTGACTGGGGAGAAACAAGATGGACGTTGGAGAGAGAATATAAATATTAATTACTGTAAGAGGGGGTGCAGTGCCACAAACGACAAGCTGACCAAGAGGGGCAATGACATCATCTACTACACCGTCGTGAACAGCAGCCAGACCCCTTTCAAATACCCCACAATCTCGTCCGCCCCCAGCTTGCTCTCGCCAAAGATACGGTCCACGAACGTGATCGGCACCTCCCCGACCGTGTATCCTAGCGCCTTTGCCCGCACCATCATCTCCATCTGAAACACATAACCCTTCGAGACAGTCTCAGAGATAATGTGCTTCAGCACAGGTATCCGGTACAATCTACAACAGACGGCACTCATTACAAAGCTTGAGTGAAAGAACTCGAGCGAACGCACCTGAAACTTCCAGTCAGATCGCTCACTCCAGGACTCAATGCCGTGTCGGCAAGATAATTAGCCCCTCGCGAGACGAACTTCCGCTTCAGGTCCCATCCGTGCACGCCACCAGGGGTAACATCGGGGAGTGAAGGCGACGAAGTTGAGCGGTAACGAGTTCCAGTCACAATGTCCAGGTTATGTGCCTGTTGCAGTCTGTCTTCGTGTCAGGGCCTACCCCGTACGTTGATGCAATCCTACGACACACACCTGATAAATTGGGGGATGAATTTGGGCTGAAAGATCTCGCGTTAGTACAAGGATAGGACACCAGTAAACCAAACTTACATGATGCGAAAAGTCCGCGTCCATAATGATCACAAAGTCGCCACTGCAGAAGTTGAGTCCATGGACATAGGCAGTCCTATGGCGTACCAAATCAGCCTCTCGAACTACACGCCAACCACAATCTACTCACCCAAGACCAAGCTTGCCCGCCCGGGGCTTGAGCACCTAGAAAACGCGTCAATTCACAGAATATCACGAAAACAACCAACCACTCACGATCTTGTCCTCTCCATACACATTCGCGAGCTGCAGCGCAACCTCCTGCGTCCCGTCCGGGCTCGCATCATCAACAACAATAATCTCCCATTCAAGCTGACTACATCCTAGCGGTAAGCTCAACGCCAGCCCAAAATCCCGGCGCGCACAACGAACGCCCCGCAACATCAAGTCAACAGCACACTCACTTTGCCTCAAACTCCTTCGCCAGCAAATACACAATAATCGGCAAATTCTTGCGCTCGTTGTACGTCGGCAGAATAACCGAATACTTGTGCGTGTCCCTCGAGTCGAACCGGCCCTGCATGCTGAGTGCGGCCTCGCTGGAGTACGGGTTCATGTAACGAGGCTGAAGCGTTAACCGCTTTATGCACATCACACCCGCGGGACGTGGTGCGTGACACGTCACGCGTTGCATTACTGGTCACGCATACGTCACGCACTCAGTCCATGGCTTCGTCCACCCCAGACCTAGGGGCTATTCCGAGCTCATCGACATCCTCGAGTCCAGCCTCCAGCCATGGCTCAACGCACCACTCACACTCAGAGCCCATAAACGAGCTCAAAAAGCTCCTCAAAGAAATGCTACGCATCGTCACCTCCGACGGACGCGTCTTCATCGGCACATTCGTCGGCACCGACCAGCTGCTCAACGTCCTCCTCGTCAACACGGAGGAGTACCGCGTGCACCCGACCGCGAACGCGAACCCCAACGGCCGCTTCGTCGGGCAGGTTATGATTCCGTGGCGGCTCATCATGCAGGTTGAAGCACCCCTCCGCAAGACGTCGCGAACGGGCAACGGGATCCCGCCCAGCGGCGAGATGGGCGCGCTGTACATATAATGATCTCCATCATATCACACCAGACTTCATGTAAGTGGGTATCCCAAAGAACCTGATATAATCCAATCGTTAATTCCAGAGTAGTGTTGTAGCACAAATAATCCGCTATAGTATATACGGTACCGGACCTCCATATCAGAATGAATGCACACAAAAAAGTAGGGGTATTGTTCCAAGATTAGCTGCTGTACTTTGGCTTGTATATCCACGCCAGCCCGACATCGCTCGCTCCTTGAGCAACCTACGGCGCTTCATAAGCTCCAAATCGTTAAGAAAATGTCGGGATGCTCACCGCTGCTCGATACCACTTTGCAGCCTCCTTCTTGTCCTTCTTGCAGCCCTTTCCGTTTGCAAGACAAAACGCCAGGTCTTGCTGCGCGTCGGCGTCACCAAGGTTGGCAGCAACTCGATAGTAGCTCTGCGTATAAATTAACAAAAACCCCAGACAAATCAGACAAAAGGACCAAGACTCACCACTGCCATCTTCTGGTCCTTGGTCACACCCCATCCCTGGAAGAAACACTGTCCGACCTCATAAATAGCCAACACCAGCTCAGTCTAAAAACCCATCAGCCCACGCAAACGAAACAATCGCTTAAACCACCAACCTTGACCACCCTAATATCCAGCCCCTCCCGCGCACTCTCCAAATCCCCCACCGCACTCTCCGCCGCCTTCGTCAACCACTTAAACCCCACCTTCTCATTCTTCTGACACCCCCACCCATGCCTCAGCGCCAGCCCCCACATAAGCATCCCCACCCCACACCCGCCCTGCACCGTCGCGCTCTGCTCAAAATACACCGCCGAATCCCTCAACTTATTCCCCTCGTGCGCCTGAATCCCCAGCTGCAAAAACTCGAGCGCACTCTGCGGCTCGCCGTTCGGCGTCCCGCTCCCAGATCGGGGGAACGTCCCCCCGGCCGGCGACGCAAGCGGCGACGACCGGTGCCTATCGACGCGCGTCCCGCTCGAGCTCGGCGATGACCGATTCCCGCCGCCCTCGTCGAGCTGGTAAAACGAGTACGAGTTCGAGTACAGACTCGTCGGTGAGTCCGCGCGGAACGACGGCGGGTGCTTCGGAATCACAATCTGCGATGTGGCCGTGGACGACGCCATGCTGGACGACGTGGAAGGTGTCGCAGGCGACATGGGCGAGGGCGGCTTGAGGTAAGACGAGCTGTACATCGCCTGCTGCTGTGGGGATGCCCTGGGCGGCGGAGCCTGCGGGGGCGCATGGGCGGGGGGAGGCGGAGCCTGAGGGACATTGCGTTTCCACTGGTGCGATCCCTGAGGCGATGGCGAGCGTGGTGATACTGATCGAGTGGACGGCGAATACGGTGCAGGCGCAGCCCGTGGTGGAGAATCAAAGTACTCTGGCCTGGCAGAATAGGGTGATGCGGATGCGGGTGATGAAGTGAAGCTGTTCTCGGCATACGGCGAGTTTGCTCTCTGAGCATTGCGTTCAAGCACCTGCCGTTTCTGCTCGTCAGAGGAAATTATAGGTGGCCGTCCAGGCCGAGAGTAGTTGAAACGGGGCTGGTTGGCCGCGATAGGAGCTCGGCCATTTGTGACCGGTGCATGTACATTAGCTACAGGAGTTCGAGAGCTGAAAGAAGGCTGAAGAGATGGTGGAAATTGTAAAGGATGTGGTGGGCCAGGTAGAATGTCAGGAGAGGAAACTACGACAGTAGGGACGGGGGACGAGCGTGCGTGCATTGGGGGCGGACTAGGTCGCCGCTGTGGCTGCTCTTCGGGTATAGGGTCCTGAACCGGCTCAAACCGAGTAGCAAGATGTGCAGAGAGTGCGCTGAGACCCTCTGTGGTAGCCTGAGAAAAGTTAGATGCACGCCAGTTAGGATCGTCGAGGTTGGAGTAGACACTAGCGTCGTCGCGGTGCGAGCGGGTGGCGTCGGGCTCGGGGAGATCCTCCTGGTCGTCTGCGAAGGTCAAGAAGGAGCGACTGTTGTTAAAGTTGTTATTTAGGAGGAACGCGGTGTTGGCGGTGGACTGTGAGCCGGGGAAGCGAGAGTGGAGGATGGGCGTGTAGGGATCCTCAGGCTCCGGGGGAACGGGTGGTGCATGGTAGCCCGCACCGTCAAGCGCAGCTGGTTTTGACCTTGGCGCATGACCGGTCTGACCTTCACCGTGACTGGAAGATGCGACAGGTCGCTTCTCCGCCACCCGCGACGCCGGCTGAGACGCCCACCCTCCATCGTTGATGCCCCCGTATGCATCGTACGGGTTGACAAGATTATCTTGTCTTTCAGTCGCTGCGAGGCTTGCCTCTGCTCTTTCATCCCGTCTCTGTATCAGCTGTTTCCGTGACGTGCGTCTCACCAGAGTCTCTAGGGGCGAGGCCTGCCGAAGCTGGAAACTGCTCGGACCCGCGTCTGCCATGTGTGCTGCTTGTGTTGCCATCTTCTTGTTCTCGCGTCCGAGTCGACTTCCTGGAACTCCAGAGTGAAAACGAGACCGTGTGGACCGTGCGGGCGAGGATCAAGCATATCCATTCTTCCGTTCGCAGTCATACCCCACTATTATTATAATACGTTCTCCCGTCTATGTATGTTACCACAACAACAACCGCAACTCCCATCGGACGTTTTATATCCCTGCTCGCCTTCTCGGCGTCTGGCTCACACGCCCTCCTGGATGTCTCGGGGTGCCTGGCACAATCATCTTGGAGCTGGCACCGCTCGACGTCTGTGTGGCCAACGCAGCCTCAACCTCCTTCCTTGCACTCCTAGACAACAAATCACTGCTTAGCTACGACGTTATTTGACACAAAACAGCACTTACTCTTCCCGTTGCTTGGCAATCTGCGTCTCCAGCTCGGCGCGCTTCGAGAATTCGCGATCAGACTTGCGACGTAGTCCCGAACCATCAAAGTTCTTCTCCTTCACCGAGTAAAAGACAGATCCCAGCTCGGCTATCAACCCCTTGTCAGCCGCCTGAGTAATGAAAGGACACAAAAAAGCATACCTAGCCAGTAGGCATCAACGGCTGTAACTTGCGTCATGTACTCCTTCGAGGTCAGGATGAGTTCATGGTATACCACATAGGTTGGAGTGACTTGGAAGGCGGTCAGTCAAACAAGCTCATTCACAAATCAGGACACTTACATCCCAGGCCGTACAATGCGCTGGTCGGGTGCAGATGCGTAGGCAAGCCGGTCCTAATGTTGACGTACTCGCCAATACCCTTGACTCTGGCCGTCTGGTGGAAGTAACCGGCCGTGATCGCTTTCCTACAAGGCTGATGTCAGTTATATATCACCAGCACATTATTCAATAACCAACCTTAGAACATCAAAGTCCGTGCCAGCCGAAATGATCTCCATTTTCTGGAACTTCATAATATCCTCCAGCTGAGCACGCACTTCGCGCGCCTTCCGAAGCAGCTTCGGATGCAAAAAGTGTCTCGTCGCCCAATCGTCTCTATAGCTACAAAAAAGAAGCCTCGATGAGTACCAATAAAACAATCAAACAAAAGGCCCAACATACTTATGAGACTTCCACTGGTTAAAGACATTAAGCAGCGTCAAATGGTCGCTCTCAGGGACATTGAACTTTTCGCGTGCAGCGTCGGCCTCCTCCATCCGCTCCTTCGGTCTGTAGAACACACTCGGCACCGACAGCATAGACACGATCGTGAGCATCTCAGCAGAGCACCGGTAGTCCACAGACGCGATCAACATCTTGGCCATGGAGGGTTCCATAGGGAACTCGGACATTTTTCGACCGACAGGAGTCAGATCACCGACGTTGTCCAACGCGCCCAGCACCCAAAGCTGGTACATCGAGTTGATCATGTTGGCCTGAGAGTTCGTTCAGAAACTGTTCGATAATACAGCGGTTAGACAGCTTACCTGTGGTGGAGGATCCATGAAGTCAAACTCTAGCAAATTCTTGACGCCTAGAGACTTCAGCAGCAACACCGTATTGGCAAGATTCGTCCGCTGAATCTCAGGGATAGTGTTCGGGAACATCTCGTTCCTAAACGCCGACTCCGTGTACAGGCGATAACAAAACCTATATAATCATGATGAGCATATATTCCCATAACCTGAATCCAGAGAGGAACTTACCCGCTCCCAGTCCGCCCAGCACGACCAGTCCGCTGATTAGCATTCGCCTGACTAACCGGCGTGATCTGCAAGGCGTCCATACCAACCTTGGGATTATACACCTTGAGCTTCGAATATCCGGCATCTACCACATAATGAATGCCGTCCACTGTCAAAGACGTCTCCGCAATGTTCGTTGCAACAATAACCTTCCGACGTCCGTCAGGCGTAGCCTCGAAAATCTTGGCCTGCAAGTCCGCGGGCATCTGCGAGTAGATAGGCAACACAGCTAACAGTGGTGGGTCATCCAGTTGGCTCAACCGCTCTGTAAATTCGTCAGCTTCGGAGCCTTCACAGAAACCCGAAGAGGTTAACCTTCTACGACTTGACAAGTAATTTCGATATCCTCTTGACCAGTCATAAAGACCAAGATATCGCCCGGAGGAAGTGACAAATGGATTTGTAGAACTTGCTTGACGGCACTGTCGACGTAGTCCTCACAGGGAGATTTTGCATGGAAGATCTCAACAGGGAATGTTCGTCCCGGAATCGTATAGCACGGCGCGTTGCCATAGAATGTCGAGAACTGAAAGGCGCCATTAGGATAAAGCATTACTAGTAGAGTCCCGACTCACCTTCTCAGCATTCATCGTAGCAGAGGTAACAATCAACCTAAGGTCTCGTCTCCTAGTCAAGACTAGCCGTACGTCAGTGGAATGCAACACGATTTATGTGGGCAACGTACTCTTTCTCAACAAACCCATCAGCACATCCGTACTCAGCGAACGCTCGTGAGCTTCGTCCAGGATAATGACGCTATATCGGTCCAAGTCACCCTCGTTGAGAGACTCGCGCTGCAGGACACCGTCCGTCATGTCTACGAAGATAATGTCAGCAAACTACACAAACAAAGAAATTTGTACTGGGACACATACACTTGATCTTGGTATCCTGCGACGTGCAGTCCTCAAATCGAATCGCATAACCCACAAGACCACCAAGTTTACACTGACGACCCAATGTCAGCAGACTGAGTGCGGAGGTTTCTGCGAGAACCCACCTCCATCTCTTCAGCGACACGCTTTGCGACCGACATAGCAGCCACACGACGAGGCTGAGTACAACCGACAATACCATGTTGACAATACCCATCCTCGTAAAGGAACTGGGCAAGCTGAGTCGTCTTTCCGGAACCTGTTTCACCGACGACAACGACAACTGTTTTTATCGTCAGTAATAACTCAATCTCTAAACTCCTCGAGCACACTACCTTGGTTATCTCTTATGGTACTCAACAGCTCTTCACGGCAGGCAAACGCCGGAAGATACTCCCGCTGCTCCTTGAGAGTCCGAGACTTCGCAAAGGAACTAACACCAGTGTTCGTCTTAAGATGGCTAGCAAACTTGGAGTCCCCCTTGTAGTTCTCCTCCCCACCGGCCTTGGCAGCCGCCTCGGCCTCCGCTAAACAGCGCCAAAAAAGCTACGTGAATGTCCAACGCATAGATACATATAGAAAAGAGAGAGCACGCACCCTCGGCCGCAGCATCTTCGTCCTTGACACCCATGATGTTACCGAGCTGTGTACCACCCAGATGCGCGAGCTTGGCCGCAGCTTTTTGCCGTTCGGCTTGCTCACGCTTCTCCTTGACGAGTGCACTCCCTTTCTTGGAGAAGATAGCCAGGTCGCTCGTCGGATCACGAATAGGGTTGATCGGTTCGAGTTGCGTGGTGAATACGGTCTTTCCATCGAGGAATGGGGGCTTCAGGTCGTGAACCATAACATGCACGGTCGATTCTGAGTCGTCCTCAAAGTCCAGGTCAAGATTCTTCCGCTGCGCCACTCCAGAAGTGACCATTCGGTTGGCTTCCCAGAGGTCATTGTCAGCATTCTGAAACAACAGCTATTAGACTAAGTAAGTGATGCAATGAGCAAGTGCACTCACATATTGAGCTTGCTTCGCCGATATCCGCTTCTGCAATAGTTGAAAATGTTCAGTTTAAGCTACGTGGCGAACAAGAACGAAACAACACGGACCGTCTGCTTGGTTGCAATCTCGGCCTGCCTGATCGCAGTCAGGTCTTCGTATTGAGCCAACGGGTTGTGCTCTTCATCCCCAGCAAGAACGCCCTCTTCAGCTCCCGTGTACCAGTCGCGATCCAGCCTAAGCTGCTCGTCTTCCCACTCTCTAGCATCAACGCCAAGCAGACCATCATCCTCTGGACTCCCGTCCCTCGCAACTCGAGGCGTTGGCGCATCCCACCCACGATTGCGAGCCCTGCCCCATCCCGAACCCTCGCCGTCGCGTCCGCGTGGAGTCGAGTCCCATCCTACATTGGGCACGCGTACACTCGGCCCATCACGCCCACCACCCCTCTCCGACTTTGGCGTAGACTCCCAACCTCGGTCCCGTTCTCTGTTGTCGTTGTGTCTCCCCCTTCCGCGCCAGTCCCGGTCGTTGTCTCGGTTTGAACGGCGCTGAAAGTCGCCTAAACCACGTGGACCGCCGTCCTTACGTTCATTCATGGCAGTAATGCCCTCTAGAAAAGCATGTTGAATATTGATCAAGCCGAAGCACGTTGTATGCGACATACCTCGCTGCTTCTCTTTGTTTCTCCTGTGCTCATCTAACCTTAGACGTGCGATGTCGGATATACCACCGGGATGAGAGGGTGTCTCTTCTCCTCTTTGGCGCATGTTGCTGGAGCGGGCTGGCATGGAGGGCACTAGAGAAACGGAATAATTAAGCACTGAGGAAATGAAAGGTGAAATGTTCTTACCCTTGAATACAGCATCGCCGCCGTTGTCCAATCTTGGCTTCTTCCGAGGACCATTACCATTTGCGTTTTCCTCCCTCTTCTCCTTTGCAAGCCTATCAAGACCTAGCAAAGAACCACGAGGAGTCGGCGGTTCAATGGGCTTCGCGGGTTGACGGAAGGCATGACGCTATGGACGAATGAGTACCAGACATTGTAGAACAGATGTGGAATTTGACTGACAGCATCCTGGCGCATAAGGCCGCCTTGGCGTACGGGATCTGGCTCGAGTACTTCACTGTCATGCACGGTGATACCTTCGACAGGGCGGGGAGCTACGCCGGATGCCTCCTGCTTTGCATGGGACAAGATTTCGGCATGCAGCTCAGTAAGAAACGAGTCCTTAAACTTGCCGAAAGCTCGCGCCGCTGCACAGTGACTGTCAGATACTTCTCGTGGTTTTCTACTAGACATACATACCTTGCACAAATCCATCCACCGAGTTTGTCTTTGCAATGTCCGACACTCGCTCAGCAAGCAAGTCATTGGGGTTGACGAGGTTGAGCGCCCTCGAAAGTTTTATAGCGAGTTGGTGGTTGAATTCTTCGTGAGCCTTGTCGGCGTCGGGTGACCGTGAAGACATGGCGACGTGAGGTGACTTGAAGCCACTGAGTTGACAAACAAGGGGGACTTGCAACTTCCGCACTGGTCGATTGTCCTCGGTAAAATCACGTGATGCCTACATGGCATGTGTTCCAAATGTAGTCTGTCTACCCCTGAGCTCGTTCCTTCAAACTTGACCACAACATTCACTTCGTACTCCGGCAACATTGTCGCATGGTCTCAATGTCAGCTCGAGGAACACAGCCTGCCTCGTGCACCTACTAGAGGGGAATAGTACTACCAGCGATGAGTACGCCGCGATCTTGTCCATTTGTACTAGTCAGAAGTCAGGACACGACAAAATAGCGCAGGCCTCGAGGCATTAACAAGACATCGATAACCAGTGCCACCAGCTTTAGGGCAAACAAAGTTAGGTCCAAGCTGCTACACAGGATCCCCAGATCTTTGCAAGTATAAGATACGGTCAAGCACGCAGCTGCGGCGTGTTTCCCCTGCACACCATCACAGCTCAGAGAAACCCACACAAGGAGCTACCATTCGTCCAGACTGCGCTGATCGCGGGTTTATCACCCATCCATATCTGTGATGAGCGCTCGTCCTCGCGCTGAACTTGCGGGTCATTGACGTAGGTGTCTAGATCGCAATGAGTCTTTCCACACCTTGTCCTTCCTAGAAGATCATAACATGCTACCTTCCAAGAATCAACTTCTTTCATTAATGATTGGCCCACAGTTAAAGCCATTCGCGCCTCGTGTGCCTCTATCGATCTTCTTACCCCTATCATGTTCCCCATCTCGTCCAAACGTTCACTGCCCTGCTGTATCGTGCATTCTCTCGTACTCACAGCAATCCAGGTCGTAGGCGTTCCCAATTTCGCTAAGACCCTTAATCTCAGAGATATGCAAACCGTTCCTGCGGCGAGTAGCTTAGGTTTCGGCAAGGTGTCACGCATGAGGTGCAGCGTACTCAAAGAACCACCGTGCTCTCATATAGGTGTATCGTCGCTATCAGGTGCGTAACATCATCGAGGGACAGTGCCTTAGGTGGCTGGAGCCTGGCTTCACGCGAATAGGCACCAGACTCGAGTATCCCAACTGACCTCACAAAAACTGCAAGATTCATCAGCCACCGCAGTAGCTCAGACAATCCATGACTCTTGAAACACGCTGATCAACAACACTCCTAGAACTTCTCAATTCACCGTGTCGGAGTTCCGGTATTAAATTCGAGATTCGAATTTGAAAGCCTCATGGCCTGTACTTGACGAAAGGAGAATGTTTTTCTAAATCCCACCGTAATTCTTGACTGCCAGTTGCGAATCCACTCACGCCCCCTCAACGATACCGATAATCAGCGCCACGCCAGGTGCTCATGAGGCAGCAATGAAGTGGAAGTTTACGCAACGGCTGGTCGTAAGCCATACTTCTCTCACCAGCTGATCGTCGGACCACACAAAGTGGCTGCTTTCCAGGCCATGACGTGCCATGACGTAGAAATGCGAGTGTGGTACTGGAGACTCGCATCATAACTGGTGAAGCGAAGCTCTGAATTTTCCACTGAACCGGCCATCTGCCCCGTGATTACTACTTCCCAGTAAGTAGGAGCATACTTTCTTCGTGAATTTCCTCTGAGTTTTGGTGGAGTGCTCCGCCGCTCAACAAAAACAGAAAACTCCCATGCTCTTCCGTACTGCAGATCGACCTGTTCAGCTGATGTACCCTTTAGTACGCCACCTTGCAAACTTTGGCCGAGCTCATCACCCACCCATGGCTAGACAACCCGGAGACAATCACTCCCTTGAATAACCTAAGTATGATGAAAACCCTGCCATGGCTGTCGTTCGCTCCGTCGCTTCCATTGTCTTTACGCCACCTCCGTACACAGAGTCTCGACCGACATCATCCATCGCACTTTCGATTCAAGAAGTCTCACTCCCCAGATCTAACATTCTCGCCCTGTCTCGGACGCAGATAACTATTACTATATTGTTACGTTAACGTCAGCTTGCTGTCCAACCAGCTATTTCCTCACAACACCCAGGATGCTTACATTGAAGCAGTCACTTGAGCAACCTAAGATGAAAAATGTTCCACGCTCTCACTTGTTCCGTCGCTTCCATAATTTCCGACCTATGTACACCATCGCGCGCTCCATACTCCAAGTCTCGACCCTCGACCGAGTCCGATCACTCCAGTCAATAAAGCAGCGCACTTTCGATTGGAAGCTCCAGCGCCAGCAACCTTTGCTGTGGAGCACAATTACTTGACGCTCCCAAGAATTTCTCGCCCTGTCTCGGAGGCAAACCATCAGCGCTAACGCCGTCCTGTCAGCTGCGTAGAAGGGATCTGCCAGTACGATACAATTGGCCTTTAGGATCCCGGCCCCATCGAGACACTCCGCTCGACGTCACAAGGCCCAGCAGTCCGGGCAAGCCTCTAGATCCACTTCCCCGTGGATGGCGGTGGCACACCCCAGATCTTCAGACAGCGCTCGGGAAACAGCTGTCTCGAACTTAACATGGATATGCCCAGCGACGATCTCAAATTTACACATGTTTTAACGCCGTGCGCCCTGACTAACAGTCTCATTTCGCTCCTGATCAGAAGAAGCCGCACACGAGCAAATCTATAGCAAATTACGACGATATAGTTATTATCACCACCTATTACTCCTCCCATACCCGTACTACACATAGCGCTTCCGCTGCTTGAGCTCCGCATACGGATCGTACTTGGGCACGAACCCATACTTCGGCTCCGCAATGCCTGCAAAACAACACGTCCCATAGAATCAGCACTCCTTCTCTCCTGCATTCATAAAGTCCGAAAGGAAACTCACCAAAGATATCCTTGTATATCGAAGAAACACCCTCGCTCCACACCTCACGGAACAAGTGCGCGCCGCCACCCGTGCTGGGGTCCAGATCGTACTTCTGCAGGAACTCACGGACGTTGAAGCCGAGACGCGTCTCGTTCGTGAGCTTGGGAACGTCTATCCGCGACTTCTGGGGCAGAAGCATAGTCGTGTAGCGATGGTAGCGCGTGCCCTTTGGAGGGTGAGGAGGAACGTAGGGTGTATGCGCCTCCGAGATTGAGAGCAGCGGCGAAGAGGTCGCATTCAAAGAAATGTTCGGTCTAAGATGCGCGTCAGCATGAATGGCCTCCCAATAAAAAGAGGCAATTACTGTAGCCAATGGACGTAGTTTTGGAAAGTCGCATTGGCCTCATCGGGAACGTCTGCAGATTGTGTTATGAGCTTATGCAGTATTCTTTTTTTGGATCTGCCACATACCGGGGTCGACCATAAGCAAAGTGTAAAGTCGCTCTTCGGGGTGGAACACGGTCGTGAACACCTTGGGAGCATCTCTCGTCTGTACAACACCTTGTAAGCATGCTTGCAATATATACGTAGAATATGACATGCCTGCTCAGCGGTGAGATACACCCCAGGCTCAACATGTTTGTGATAGCCCTCCACAGGGTACGTCAAGCGCAAGTCCACAGACGGGTGCAAGTCAGGCAAAACATCTGGCACGACGCTCATTTGGTGAATACGCTCCATCTACAGAAAAACGTTAGAAACACATCTAGTCCGCATACTTGGACAAAAATCACGCACCAACAAGTCCAAAGCCCCCTCCTTCAGCCAACGCCTCTCAACTAATCGCCTCTCCACCGCCCGAGACATGTCCGCTGTCCAAACGCATTAGCACGCCCGTCCACACTGCACGTCCAAGCGGAAAACACTAACCCATCCCATTCGCAACCTTCCACCTCACCTCGGGAAAGTTAATCTCGCTCTGCACCTCCAACTCCTCCAGCTCCCTCTCCAGCTGCCTCACCGCGTCCGCGTCCACTCCTCCCTCCTGCTTCTTCATGTCCTCAATGCGCGCCTCGAGCACCTTCGCCTGCTCCTTCAGCGCGGCCGAGTCCGCCTTGAGGAACTTGAGCGCCTCGTCGAACGCAGGGAGGACGCCGTACGCGAGCGGACGGTTCCATTCGCGCGGGTTTTGCGGGGAGAGCCGGGGCCGACGGGGGTAAGCTGGTCGAATGTATGGTCCTTTCGTAGACGACGACTCGTCTGCACCTGCCGGTGTCGGAGACTCTTCCGTCGCGTTCTTTGGTGGAGGAGCTGCCGACGCGTCCGCGCTCTGGTTTGCGGACTGAAGAGTCGCGTTCCCTCTGACCAATGGTGCCAGGGACCGTCTTGAACATCTCCGTAGGGCCAACATGTTAGATAACGCGTTGAACGTTAAGGTGTTGGTGAGCTGCAAGCAGAGAAAGCTTGTCTGACCTCGAGCGTGAAGGCAGTCAATAATTTCTCGGTTGCAATAGCCGGAAAGCGCGGGAACAAATTTCTGCTTTCAGACCAACTTATGACTTCATAGCGTCAAGTCCACTACCTTGCAAAGAATTCAGTAATGACATTGCGTCTCAATATCACGCAGTAATTATCATAAAACAAGCTCGTTTCGCATACGTATCCCCAGTAAATAATAATATACAGGTGGATGAATGGTATAATCAGGTAGCCAAGGTATGAGGGTAATGACTAAAAGCACAGTGTGACAGAGCAATGCAAGGACAACAACGAGCCAGCTTGGGCCGCGACGGAAAAGGAGAGAGACATAGGTCGGATGGTAGAGTTAGCAATAATGGAGGCCATAGTAGATAATACTATACGCAATAACAATATGCACACGGAAGGAGCAAAGCAGCAGCGTACACAATTAGACAAGTCCGAGAGCGAGGCAGTGGAGGCAGCATAAGACCCTAAGCAAGAAACATTTAGAAAGTGGAAAGCCGAAGGGGGCCGTTGGCGATGCTCGACGCGACTTCATTCCGGGGGAAACGGTATTGGAAGTCTAAAAACAAGGTTAGCCGCCGTACTTGTATGTTTAGACTTGCGATGATACATACCACCATCACGGACCACAGGGTTCAACTGCCTTGTTCGTTGCTCTTGCTCCTCACGTTCCATTTCAATCTCATACTGTGCCTTGACACCAGGGATACGAATGCCAATCTTAGGAGGAGAGTTCTTCGGTTCCCAGCGTCCACCGCCAGTGGCCTTGCATATGATGCTGGCACGTCGGAGAGGGTACGAATCGAGTTCGCCGTATGATGGTTCGGCGTTCTCCAGCTCTGCAGAAACTACAGCACTGGGGAAGATCCCGCGCTTAACGCTAAGCTGAGAGGAGCTCCGCATCACGCGGATGGTCCGTGCCGAGTCGGGAAGCTCGGGGACAGAGGAGCAAATAGAGGAGGGTGACGAGGGCTCGGAGCTCAATGAGAGCTTGCTGGAAGTTGGCGTCGAGGGTGCCAACTCGGGTGTGCGTGGGGAGTTGCATCCGTGGACCTGATCCCAACAGTCGTCACAGACGCGCTCCATGGTGACAGGCGAGACGGAAGACTCGAAGGTTGTGATAGGAACGTTGCGGGGTGGGTGAAGGAAGTCAAGGTTCGAAACATCGAGAAGCGCGGTGGTTCTTGAAGTGCACTGACGACAGAAGATGCCTCCACACTTGCGGCAGTGCTAAGCGAAGCGAACACGTCAGCCCCTGAAACATGTCTGCGGTGGCCATTCAAGAACTCACATGACGGCGTGCGCGGACCGAGAACCTGGCGTTGCAATAGAAGTTGTCGCATTGCGACGAGAGAGAGTCAGGCTGTAGGGGGGGCGCAGGTCAATTTCATGTGCACGCGACACAGTTGTCCCGGAGAAACCGACCTTCCAGAGGTTCTTAGGGAGGAGAACAGCGAGGTGCTCGTTGGGACGGGGGGCAGCGTCCTTGAGACTAGAGGTCGAAGCGTCATCTAAAGAAGAGGCGTTAGTTGGGTGACGGGTGTGACGTCGAGCTGAACAAACCTTGATCGGATTCATAGGGGCTAGAAGCACGCGAGGCGACGAGAGAGGACGTCCTGGCGATACTGGAGTGGGCATTGGCAATGATATCAGCGAGGGCAGCCGCGAAGAGAGACATGTCGGTATGTGAAGAGAGTTGGAGAAGTCGTGTGTCGTGTATGTGTTATGGACCTGTGCTCGAAGGCGACAGTTATGGGGGCGTGCTTCTGTCGCGAGCCGACGTTTATAACTCTCGAGGCATTTCCGTGCCGTGTGAATCTCGCTTACGCTTGGTTGTCAGCTCGTCCCAAAAAATTCTGTCGGTTGCATCCGCCCTACCTACGGACCCAGTAGCCGATGCATCTGTCCACCGGAGATCACATCGGCTCACTTTCCACTTCCGAGACCGCAACTGACCCTTTCTGCTTATTCCTTTCCGCATCTAGGACACTTCGACCATAGCTGAATTCCTCTCCTTCGTCATTATCTCCAAACACCTCATTCATAGGGATGCTTCTGTGGACGTTGAGGTACACGCGTCCGTGTCCACGATTGGAATTGGATCTCCTCCGCGGAGCGCCCACGTTACGGCAAGCACCTTTTGCCAAACGCGTAAACACATGGTCGGCTACCCGCGCCGACCCTGGAAGGTGAGAGGATATTTCCGACATTTACGCCCCGCGAAAGAAGCAGCTCCTCCTCGATAATCCACCATCCATCTGATTGATTGGCCACTTATGAGCGCCTACTCTGAGACTCTGAGATCTGCTCCAGATCAGAGGTGGCAACCGCTGGCACCTGCTCTGGCAGCTCAATATTTGTACCCAGGGCAGGGTGGGCTCCCACTCTCATTTTGCACCATGACAGGGCCAACACCAACCTCACAAGCGACATACAATTGCAATACGTAGCTGTAGGTGCATCTGCATCGCCTTTCGCCGCCTAGCACCCATATGCGCTCCTTGGCTCCCTTACTCCAGCCTCTCCCCAGGGCTCTTCAGGGTGACCAACAGTGGCGGCCAGAGCAAGCCTGACAGAGCCCGTCGGCACCACGGCCTCGCAGATCCGTGATAGAACATCTCCTGTGCCATATTTACCAAACTAACCCTGCACGCGACTTCAATCGACACAAGGCGTGTTACATCCACCATCGCGATACATCGATAGAAGTCGTCCTCTGCCATCGTACCACTTCTCTAACGCGTTGATCAGATACAATCTCTAACCAAGCTGTTAACCGTGACCATCCTCGTGGGTCCCGACAGCCGCACAAGCACACACTACCGGTGCTTCTGTGCATGCCAATAAGATGTCGGTGCCTTGACGAGCAGATGGCAAGAAATGGCAAGAGATGGCAAGTCCATGACAGTCCATGACAGTTCAGCGCAGGACGCGAGATGTGAGATCGATCAAAATCTGTTCAACTCTCTGAAGATCCGTCTCGCTTAGCACGCCCGTACCTTTTCACCTCCTGCCGCTTTCCTCCATTTTCCTCCAGCAGCCTGGCACTTGGCCTGAGCCCGCGTAAAACGCCTTTGCATTAGCCGTGCAACAGGTCCATGACCATCGGAAGTATGCACCCATATGTACCTCCTGACCTCGAAGGCCTTCGAAGCCTATTCAACACGGTAAGCATCCACACCGAGGCCCCGAAAATGAGCGCACAGCGAACCTCGGCGTCGCCTCCACTGCACAATTATCACCCGCAACCTCCCGCTGCCACTGCCAATGCATGCTTAACCGAACCGATGGTTCCTGATCCACAGCACAGCTCGCATTTTCCAAGTTCCACGTATGCCGACAGTATGCCGACGCACATATGCTCGTCGGGACCGCTTCACGCGGCTTGCCGTCCGTCGTGAAGTACCTCGTCGGCTTCCGGTCATGATGAAAAAATTGCGATGATGGCTTCGCTATACTTTTTTATGGTTTCGCCGAACACTCATCATTCCTCGAAAGAACACATCCGCATGATTGTGCGATTGAGATGAAATAGTCCCTCGGCGGCTTCGGTTGGCAATATTCCTCGGTGTCGTCGGGCGGTTGCATCTGGTTGCATGTGCAAACATGAGCATTCGTAGTATGTACTGGTGCATTCGCTAATTTGCGGCCCGATCCCCGACGCGGACATTTTGTTCTGTCAATATCAGTGCAACCTAGTGCAACTGTCAGTGAGCTATCTTGCGCTGTCCAATTCTGCCCATATCATTGGCCCATCTTGTCGGTGCCTCGAGAATTCATGCGACCATTACTCCTTGGACGTTACATTGACAATGGATCGCAGTCATCGGGTAAAAATTCTCTACGTTATGGAGGTGGCTCACGCAAAAACATAGCTACCGTAAAACGGCAATAAAACCGCCAACAGTGCCGCGAGCAAAACCGCAAGCCGCGTACTTGCGCCGAGTCGTAAAGATGAGCAGCTGAGCTAGCACTGCCACTTTCAATGGAACGGAGTTTTCTCGCCGGAATATCATTGTTCCAGTAAACGCCGGCATCTCAAGTAACCGGACCTGTCACTCAACATGCCATCCGGTCCCTTGACTTTACCCCACATCGTCAACCACCTTTACTCACTGTCCAAAGGCTAACTAACGGCTAGTCAACCTCTATCATAGCAGAGTATATGTGTGTTAAACTGTAACGCTTCCAGCATCATGAGCAACAAGAACCATTCCAGAACGTTCATTGTCGGCTGTGGATGCACGGCGTTCATCAAAGTAGGTTGGCGCATATACGTTATGACAGGGGGATAACGTTACCAATGAACTACAGCCCAGAGGTCTCAGGGAGACTGAGGATGTAAGCTTCGCAAAACATACAGCTCCTCTTATGCCTTACCAAACGTGTGTAGATGGGGCTCGAAGCTGCAACCAAAGCGCTTTTGGACGCCGGTCAGTTGTTCTACAATGGGCATGCGCAACTGCCATACTTTGACTAACTTGTTCCAGGCATAACGTACGACGCAGTGCAAACCGCATATGTCGGCTTCTGCTACGGTGACTCGACCAGCGGACAGGTAAGCCCACCATCCACAGCCCATTCAAAACATTCTCCAAAACCCCGCGTGCGAAACCTCACACCTCGGCGCTACTACCCAGCGCGCGCTCTACAACCTCGGCCTCACAGGCATCCCGATAACCAACGTGAACAACAACTGCTCCACCGGCAGCACCGCGCTCTACCACGCCAACAACACGGTCAAATCCGGCCTCGCCGACTGCGCGCTCGCGCTCGGATTCGAGAAGATGGCGCCCGGCGCGCTCGGCACGCACTTCCCCGACCGCCCACCCGCGATCGCGCTCTTCAACAAGCGCACAGCCGAGCTCGAGCACGACCTGAGCGCGGGGACCAACTTTGGCCCGGGGGCACCACGGCTCTTTGCGAACGCGGCGCAGGAGTACTTTGACAAGCACGGCGGCGGCGTCGAGCATCTCGCCCGGATTGGTGAGTCGTTTGCTCCCAGCGCTAACGTTGTGAACGTTATCAAAAGTTATGAATGGATGGATGAATGTCGTGAGGCTGCGAGATCCCTGAGGGACAGCAGCCCCACCGACGCGTCCTATTTTAACAAAGTTTCGCCCGACTGGGAGCGCTTACGTCCGTTTCATTCCGCTGCAGCCGCAAAGAACCACAAGCACTCGGTGAACAACCCATACTCGCAGTTCCGCAGCGGATGGACGGTTGAGCAGGTCTTGAAGGCGCCCAAAATCACCAATCAGCTCACAAAGTTCATGTGCTCACCCACTTCCGTAAGCCCCTCCCCTGGTTTTTCCCATGCCATGTTTGATATGTGCGATTATTGTGTCCAGGACGGCGCCGCGTGCTGCATCGTCGCATCGGAACGTTTTGTGCACGAGCACAAGCTTGAGAATCAAGCTATAGAGATCGTCGCGTCGGCGCTTGAGACGGACAGCGCCCCTACGTTCAATGGACGCAGTGCCATGGACCTTGTTGGTTATAACATGTCCAAGAACTGCGCGGACAAGGCCTTTGCAGCAGCCGGCTTTGCTCCGGGGAAGGGCAGGGATGAGGTAGCCGTCGTGGAGTTGCATGACTGCTTCGCCGCTAACGAAGTAAGTAGCTTCCCCGCCAAATCTGGGGTAAATTGAATTGTAAGTTGATCACGATGACCTCCCCAGTTGGTGACGTATGCCGCGCTTGGGCTATGTAAGCCAGACGAAGCACACAAGTTCGTCGAACGCGGCGACAACACGGTGAATTCCATCAGCGGATCGATCGTCGCATGGCTTCTCTTCGCTGACAGCTGTTGCAGTATGGAGGAAAGTTCGTTATTAATCCAAGTGGCGGCCTCGAAGCCAAGGGGCACCCGCTCGGCGCAAGCGGTCTCGGCATGCACTTCTATATAACGAGTGAGCTTCTTGTATTCCAGCCTTGAGTTTATCATCAGCGCTTACAATTGGGCCCTTCTTCCGTCGGATGACGCTCCAACCTTCTTTCCGGGCACAAGTGCAACTTCGCGAATGTACTTAGATGTTTCTTGATCTTCCGTTTTGTCTTTGTGGCTGACGAGAAAGGACAGGGGCTGGCCCGATGCAGGCCAAAGGTATTTTTGATGGACAAGATCCGAGAGGCAAGTACGGCCTCATCCACAACATCGGTTTGGGCGGTGCCGTCGTGGTCAGTCTTCTCCGCCGCCCCGAGTTCTACCAAGCAGACGGCGCCGACGGTCGATCGAGGTGAGTGACATTAATCTGCTTCGTGCAAGCTTCTAACCGAGCGCACCTTCCGCCATAGACTGGGTTACAACCACGCACACGAGTGTCGCCCGATCACCCGCGCCGACGTGGACAAGGTCAAGTCTAAGCAAGCTTCTGAATATGTTCTTCAACATGCCAAACTGTAATTTTGAGAAATTTCAAACGCTTGGACTTTCACTATTCAATGTTTATAAGATTACTTGCTATGCCAGCTACGTGTACAGTAGTATCAATATCACCATGTCGGAAATACCACTTGAGGTTTGTCAATTACGCCAGCGAGATTGTCTATGGTTCAATTCGGAGGCCTGCTATACAGAAGATGTCGAGATAACTAGACTCGTGACCAGTCTCCCGAGACGCGTGCCTAAAGAGGCAACAGGCCATGGGGGCCTTCGCATCTGGGAGACTGGGAGATTTCGTCGACTCCCTAGCAGCTAGTTCATACGAAGGGGCCGACCAAGTTGGTCGACTCGGTCATATTCGGTCCACGACTTAATTTGGACCGAATTGCGCCGATGCGCCGGATTAGTTTTGCCAAGCGCGCCGATAGCGCGTCACGTGACTCTTTATAGTGCATTCAAGGGGCCGGCCCTTGTCACATTTTTGGCTCCCGAAGCCCGGACCCCTTGGAACTTCTTCGGCTCGCCTCCGGCTCGCCGACCCCTTCGTATGACTTAGCTGCCCTTTGCTCGGTCTCACTCGGCTCTCAGAGGTCCCATGATGCATGATGCTCAGTAACCAGCAGCTAGTTCATACGAAGGGGCCGACCAAGTTGGTCGACTCGGTCATATTCGGTCCACGACCTAATTTGGACCGAATTGCGCCGATGCGCCGGATTAGTTTCGCCAAGCGCGCCGATTGCGCATCACGTGACTCTGTCTAGTGCATTCAAGGGGCCGGCCCTTGTCACATTTTTGGCTCCCGAAGCCCGGACCCCTTGGAACTTCTTCGGCTCACCTCCGGCTCGCCGACCCCTTCGTATGACCTAGCTGCCTTGCTCCCTGGCAGGGAGCCAACTGAGTTTGAATTTGGCCTCGGCCCGAGAGCAGATTGCCCCCGGATAAGGGAACTGAGCCCCTGAATTGCAGACGCGTCGCGTCTAAGTGCCGCTGCCTCGTCTATACTGTACATCGCTTCCTACATCGTCTCCCCCGACATCGCTACGTTATGAATATATTCGATCGATTCAACTTATCATTACTGTCCGATAATGCTCGTCAATCGCTCGGTGAGCTCTCCCCCACCTTCGTCGAGAGCCTGACACCTCAGCAAGCCAAGACTGTCTTCAAAGCCACAGCCTGGTTCGATGCTCGTATCTAGGCAAATGAAAACTACGTCAGTTTCAGATCGAGTCCACTGTGAATATTATAGCTGGGAAGAATGTCGTAGTTCGCACAGGAACAGGTAGTATGGCAAAACACTTGCCATGATCCTGCCAATTCTCTTTGGCGATCCTTCGAAAATCGCGATCACTATCTTGCCTCTGAAGCTCTTGCAATCTAGTCATGTAAGTCTTTGTTTCGTCTAATCGACTCTTATGCTAAAGGGTAATCAGGTTTCAGAGTTTCAAAGTTTCGGCATCCCCACCATTCGAATAAACCAAGATACCCCGGATGACAAGAACCTCTGGAAGGTATGTCTGCCGCTTGTCTCTGCTAGATCGCTTGCTAATCTACACAGGATATTCAACTTGGAGTCTATCACAACATCATATGCGCCACCAAGCAGTTTTTAAGATACGAAGGAGCCGTGTGAGGTCAAACGTCTCGACAAAAGTAGGTGTAGTTTCCCTGGTCGACTTGCAGAACAGCTTCGAAGATGCAGCCGTCATTTCTTTCCCCATAATAGAAAGTATATGTGGCATCGAATCATCCTCAAGCCTAGAATTCAGCTTTCTCTTCCAGAGAGGAATATTTCCGAGCATGTTCCAGAGAAATTCGGGTGCCCTGCCGCCTAGAAATTGAGTATGATAAGGCACAAGATAGGCTGGCTGAGACTTCGCCTGTAGAATCATAATCAAGACATCTGTAGCTGACTTGCCCGCCTTCGAGAACAGCTCCAGCCCAGTTTTGATGTAGGACTCCTCCAAAGAGCAACTAGAGCTGCGCTGAGAGATATGGAGATCGAGCGCTGTCATTTCCGTGTCAACCAGAGCCGTCGAAAGCTCCCTTAGTCTGATATCCTTCAGAGAGCCATGCAGGGGGTGTTGTCCATTGCAGCGGCCAAAATACGGGCGGTGGAGGTGGTGGAGGCGGCTGGCAGTAGTTAGGATGAGGCCAGGGTAGTATATCTTATGTTCACGCAGGAGGGAGAGGGTGCAAATCGTTATATTTCATGGGCACGGCGCGTACAGAGCGCGACGCGACGCGAGACTACAAGTGCTCGATCGGCTGCGGTAATGCCGGCTTATCTAACCAATCTCCGACGCTTCTCGATGCTTCTTTACTGCCAATATTCAAACTCAGTTGGCTCCCTGCCAGGGAGTCGACGAAATCTCCCAGTCTCCCAGATGCGAAGGCCCCCATGGCCTGTTGCCTCTTTAGGCACGCGTCTCGGGAGACTGGTCACGAGTCTAGAGATAACAACGTATTTCAACCCACGTGGTGAGGTGTTTCCTTATTTGCTACCACCGACATTCGACCTTTTGCGGCGTACCTGGGATCGTGCAAATGTACCAATATGGTGTTTTGATGGCTTGTTGACTCAGTCATTGAGACATTTCAGGCAATTGTGTTTACTTAGCGATCACTCATGTTCAACGTTCAACGCTTGTCAGTCTTTCGCTTTAACTCAGAAGCTGGGTTTTACTGTGGCCCAAGCTCTCGTTTCAACCCGTTTTTCAACGAATATCAACGAAGAACAAGAATGTGAGACCCCTCCTTACTTTCCAACTCGAAACCCTGAATGATGCGTAAGACAAGAAAGAACCGAGTCAGATCTTTAAAATTCCAAATTCCAAACTTATAGTAATGCGGCTGCCATTCTTCAAGTGTGGTTTCTCCTGTATCCCTCTTCGCCTTTTCCCCAGAGCGTTGCGTTGCTGAAGGTACATTTACTACCCGACAATTGTCTTGTCTCTTTGGTTGTGGGTCCTTTCCGAAAGCTTTTGTGCCGTTGGGCCTATATCAGCAACACCAGCGAGCTCAAGTCTCTTCCTGATACACAACCGTGGTTCCCTCTATATTGGTTCTCTTTCCGATACTATTACAATGGCTTCAAGTTCTCGTCAACAGGAGTTGGCGAAGCAACCTTCTGGACCAGATGGCCAGCGGCGTGGAGCTACACAATCAGGTGAGAATTATACCAGGGCTCGTAGAGGGTACTGGCTGAGATGTCCGCGCTCGCATCTGTTGGTGTCTTGCATCATTCTCATAGCTTCACGCAGTGCGTACCATGGATATGTTTCCCGGATAGTAACTCAGTTGAACTTAAAACTGACGAAGGTATAGTTCCAGCTCCAATAATAGGGACGGGTCCCTTCAAGACACCAACAAAGTCACCCCGCAGCACGCGTAGTGCGTTATTTTTCGTGAATGTCACAACAGCATGCAACGATGCTTACCTATTCTCTGACAGAATACGCCAAAGACATGGATAAAACACCGACTCCCCAGCTCCGCCATAACCCGTGGGAGTCATGGAGTGGTAGCCTCGAGTGTAAGCACCGTGATTAATTCAAAATATCCTCTTGTCCAAAACACTGAGTGACTTTATCAAAGACGACGAACGAAAAACCGGCGTAGAACGATCTGGATCCGCTTCACCCTCAGACGAGACAGAAGGCAGTGGGATGTGGGAAGGCAAGTTTTATCTATGCTTATTTGGGTTTCCGTATCAATGCTCATAGTCGCTATCAACTCAGGCCCGTGGAACAGTCTTCTTGATTTATTTGGAAAAGCTATCCCTAAGATGCCTCCGGTTTACTCTTCTACCGCCACCACAAATCAAAAGAACACTAGCCAGTCAGAAGTGGATTTACCTATAAGCAATCAGCTGAAATATCTGGTCTATGTTCCCTACCTGTTGGATGCACGCATAACCGAGGCATCAGATCTCCTGTCTGAAGTAAGGCTGGATTTAACCAATCAGGACCACTTCTCGCTGGCCACGCACTGCATTGCGGAAGTATACCAACCACTTCTCCCTCAGATATTGTGGTCAGAAAATGATGTGGTCGTTTGGTGCGATAGCTCAATCCTTCATCCAGCGCTCGCATGCTTGCGTGTCATCCTCCACAAGAACTCTGGGCAAACGCACATGGATCCAGTCAAGCTCCACCACTTTCCTCAATTCCCAAGCCTCACTAGTGCACCGAGCTTTAGCATCATCCCTGACAAACTTGTGCTAAAGGGCGCTAAAGCTACAACGGGACGCGGCAGTACTTCACTTCCAGATGTTTTGTGTACCGTAGAGATCAAGACCACTCATTCGTGGAAAAAGGATTTGTTTAGCTCAATCATGAAGATGCTGAACGGTATACCTGAGGCACACCGGTACCATGTCCATCGGTTTGTATGGCCTGAAGATGTCGATGTGCGAGAAAAAAGGGACAAGATCCTCATTCAGGTAACAATCACACTCGGTTTTTTTTAGTTCCGTGTGACTGACGAAGGTCAATACTTTTTCTAGGTCTGGGCACAAATGGTTGATAACGAGGTCGACTATGCTTTGTTGACTTGTTGTCGAGACACCATGTGCCTGATCAGAAAAAATAACACCCTCTATACGTCCCGGTTGTACACAACGACTCAGCGGCCAGGCTTGGTGGCATTTTGTGTCTTTGCAATGGCTGCTAACATGTTGGAAAAGCCAGTTCTTCCCAATGATGGAGATACCGAAGGGGCTGTCCTTAAGAATTGGAGTCGTCATATGAAGACTTACGCAAAAGATGAGTACAGAGGGTGTGTTGGTGTTGTTCCCCAGTGCGTTGAAGTTCAGCGTCTTAATTCTCCAGCGATCAAACCTCACATGACTTGACAGAACCCTCTACAAGGCATAGTATATGGATCCTAAACACTAATGTATTACCCTAACTCTACAGAGTTTACGAGTAAAACAATATTTAAAGTTTTGACCTGGAAAAGTAAGGTACTGGCAAGATCGATGCCAGAACCGTGGCTTTGACTCGCTGTAGGCCTGTATTGACGTCAAGAAATGTGATGTGGTGGAGTTGGCGGCATATTTTTCCTCTTGGTGACGTGCGTTCCTTCTAAACGGGCAGCTTACCAGTAAAGAGCTCAAGGTGGTCAATGTAGTACTTGCATTCATTTGTCAATGCTTGGGAAAGTATATAATAATGCACTTCAAGAGCTGACACCTGCGGAAACGTTCTCGGAGACCAGGCCCAGGTAGCGTCAGTTTTTTTTAGCACTAAGCAGCTCCGACTCTAAACGAGCTCGAGGTGCGTGGATTTTGCGAGCGAGGTTTTGACAACATGAAGGTGCTGATGGTCGTCTTCAATTAATACGTCAGCTAGAAGGTCATCTTCTTCGACGTGGGAGCATACTGAATCACCGACACGCTCAACACCCCAGCGGGAACGCAGATAGTTGGCGAGACGTGGTCCACGATTCTCACTGGTGGCACGACGTTTTCGGACATGATCAACCCCAATGTTGCGGTCCAGGTCGGCAACTCGGGCGACATCTGTGTTAAGGAATTCACGGAAATTCTGCTCCCGACTGTTGGCCCATCGCCCGGTATTATCATGGTGGAGTGGAACGTCCACGAGCCCGATGGCCAGCAGGGCGCTACGGGCATGTAGGATTCAAAATCCTATTCAACGTCTTCGAGGTCCGAAGTCAAAGTACCCGTGGTGAATTCGACATGTACCTATGAGCGCTGATATGAGCCCGGGTGTACGATTCCGAGGGCATGCGCATTTTGGAAGACGAGCGGAAGGTGTCGATGTATGCGAAAAGGAATATTTTGGAACCCTGGAAATTTACGGTAGTAGGTGGTTCAACAAGTGCTTCGTTATACTTAAGTATGTGTCACACTATCAGTGTGTTCTCGTTCCGTCTTCAGATGATACGAGATTCGAACGTTCGACCTCGCAAAGCTTCAAAGCTTCAAAGCTTTAGCTTTAACTATTAGTATTACAGCCCCATTTGCTTTCTCACACGCACCAAAGTGGGATAGTTTACTGTTCTATTCGGATGCTATGGGTATTTGCCGATGTTACCACGGTTGAAGTTTACGCTGGCCAAAATACATTATATAATATTTGACACCTGTCAGTCCGTCAGTCCTCCACTCTCCAGATCTCACCTATCCCCTCTTCCTTCGTTGGCGTTATGGCATCATTGGAGTACCCTGCCAACGTTTCGTGTTTCCCTCATAGGGATGAACTTGTGAAACTCGAACATTTCACCGGCAACGCCAAAGCCGACTTTCCTATCCGTATCGTGCGCGTCAAAGAATCCGTACGCGCCTTCAGCTCTGGTGCCCCTCATGTTTTCCGCGCCGACATGGGTGTCGACTTCGACACCTCAACTATACCAGTTGTCTGTAAGGTCGGCTATGGAAAATACTGCGCTCAGATCATACAGGAAGCAAAGATCTATGAAGACAGGCTATGTAACCTCCAGGCTCGTGATGTTCCTAGGCTGTTTGGCTGCTTCGAGGGTGACACCGACTTCGGAGAAACCGTAGTGATGGTTCTGGAGGACTGTGGTAATCCTCTCCCCTCCCCGATGTGGCTGCTCCCGGATAGCATGAGGTGCGCGGTTTCCTGGTTCATCATCATTATCATGCTTTTGCGTTATGTCTAATCCGCCTACTTGTGCAGATGTCGAATAATTGAAGCTCTCATTAACATCCACAAAACCGGCGTCCGCCACGGTGACTTCGCGGAACGTAACGTTCTCATACGTCAGCATCCCACCACCAAAACCGAGTTCCTAATACGAATCATCGACTTCGGCAGTTCTCAGCTACACAAATGTGGATTCGAAGGCGAAGTCATTGAGCACAATGGTCTGCAGCCTGACGAGAAGGAATTCGGCTGCGATGAGCTATATGAAGTTTGCTGTCAAGCTGAAGTCTGGTATCCCAGTGCGTATTCATCGTGGTTGTGTGTTCTTGAGTACCAATGCATCGTCTCAGCGCACGTCCAGTATTATCACAAGGAAATACCACTCAGTGATGCGAAAAGCCCTGCGGCACTCGTTGACAATTCCGGGATATTAGACGATCCTGACAGACCGATCAAGCTCGGCAGGTGGGAGGCAGAACATGTGGCTTTGGGAGTGCTTCGGGAGCTTAACCAATTTTACGACCGTAAGAAGAAGATTGCCGAGCATTGGAGAGAGACGCCTTTTGAAATACCCGGACCTAGATCTCTACCGTTTATCTATGCATTGTAATCGTACGCATTACTAGTTGGTTACCTATGCATTGATTGTATAAAGCTTTGCCAGCGTCTCACTCGAACAGTATCGCGGTGCTTGACTCGGACGGCGATGGATACATCTTAGGATCAACACTAGACCTCGGCCTCGAGTGTCTAGTCTCTACTCCTGTGGACATTGATCGCGTTATCACCACAATCTCACAAGGCAAATCAGTCGCTACTCAGGTACACGCAATTCTTGTTCAAGTGAGATTTTTACTGTTGCTTTTGTTCATTTATGCGCGGCTCACAAAATCCGAACGGTATTTACGACCCGGCTATTCCTAGTATCTCTCCCATTCTTCTCACTCTCTTGCCTACAGATGGCGGTGAGAACGCTGCTCAGATTCACAAATACCGACTGCTCTTCCTCAAGATGGCGGCCTCTCTTGATCTATGTGTAGTCTCCTATGCAGCTGGCAGTGCCGCATCCAAGATGAACGCTCAGCTTCTGATGGAGGAAGCACCATCCAAAGAAGCACCTTTCACCTACTCCTATCCCCTCTACGGCATTTCACTACGTTACCCTGTCTGCACAAAGACGGGTCCACTTGTTTCCATCTCCAATTTTCCTCATGGTGGCGAGACCGGGCGAAACCAGATTACGCACAGAACTCATTCGACGTGGCACTTGGCAAAGGGAGCGTCGTATACCGCACCCTTGTTGATCTCAGCAAGCGGGAAGGGTCTGTGCTACTGAAACAAGACATCGACCGCGTTGACCAAGCAAGACGATGGAGCTGCAAGACGCTTGTAGCACTCGATGGCTCTGACGTGTATTTGTGAGTAAAAACACGGGAAGGTGCCAGTGAGCATTGCTGAGGGATTCGAAGGACTACTATGGCGTGGACTCATCCGTGTATGGAAAATGATTGATCTCGTTACCAGACTCCCACTAAAGGCGTGACCATTGAAAGCAGACCTTTGTTGTGAGGAACGAATATCTTCCGTAAACTATAAAGTTCTGCAAAAGTTCTGCCTAGTACGGGAGACTAGGTGAGATATACTCGAACCAGCATTCCTCGTCTCTCTTCCCTCACTTGTTATGCACCACACCGAGTGAGGTTATGCACGTTCTCTCTACGATACATGACCACGACGCTTACATTGCTCTGTACCTAGTCTGACATATCATAGGTACAGAATACACTCATTACGCACCACACCCATCAGGAAAGGGGCCTGTGTCAACCAGTGGCAATGTCACACGACAGCACCGACATTGTCCCGTTGCCCTGGTTGACACCCCCCCTTTAGCACTGACCGACGTTGTGCCGTGTTGTCACATCAACGAGCATGGGTGTCCAGCGTTGTAGGGAGTCGCCACCTATAGTAGTCCATTGAATGTAGCCAACGTGACAATCCCACCGGAATATCATACATTGCATTCATTGTTTCTTATAGACGAAGTGATACTAGAAGAAATCGAATTCATTTTAAGCTTAAAGACGTGTTACAAGACATTAAGAATAAGTAAACAGGAATGGTCAATTGGTTAGTTCTGACACCGCTGCCGCCAGATCCTCAGGAGCCATAATGAGCGGCTCCTCGGCTTGATCAGCAACCCCTGCACGTCGGCTATAACGAGTCGGTAAGCGGCAGCAGCGAGGGCAGTAATAGAAACACATACCATCCTCTATCATAGATGCGCGAGAGCAGGTTGTCGAGGGCGGCAGGGGACTCATACTCGAGATTTTTGAGGTTCTTGACAAAGGCCATGTGCTTAGGCTTGTACATGGCTTCGGTGAACTTGTTATTTTTTCGTGTACCGGTCTTCCACTCGTCGATGGCGCAGTAGATCTAGATGATGTATTAGTCAAGGAGGTATGATAGAAAGAAAACACTCACTGCAGTCATGACGAGGCATAGGGCGATAGGAGGGAATGGCTTGAAGAACTCCGGACGCTTGATGGCATCGTCAACATGACTCTGAAAGAAAGTCTTGTTGATAAGCCGTTGGATGATAGTCGCCCCAAAGACACCACGACGAGCATCAAGGTCCTGTGGTAAATGAGTAAATAGACGACTGCAAGAAACGGCAGGACACTTACTCGATAGATGAACCCATTCCTGGTGAGAAGCTGTTCAGCTAGTCGCCTATTGGCTACCTCAACGTCATCCGTGCCCTCAATGTTGTCGTCAAATCCGTACTCGGAGGCAACAAGGAGCTTTGCCTTTGTCTTGAGCTCGCCTCGCAGGTGACCGACGTTGGCGCAAAGCTAACAATGCGATGTCAGCACGGGTCAAGAACATGCATGGGCAATTACCAGAACTCGAAGTGCCGGTGTGAGCTCGATATCCTGACCGAGTTCATCGCAGGCCTCATCCCAGGCGTCATCACCCATCTCGTGGAGAGTTGCCGCATCAGGAAAAGCGGTGTCAGTGCACGCATACCCGCGGATAAACTCCTGTGCAGTAGATAGCACCTTGCGGACGATGGAGTCATAATCGCCAGCCCTGGGGCGATAGCGCTGGCCCCTGGTCCTCGCAGGCTGGTCATCTTCACGTCGACGCTTACCCTTGTCCATATCTTCGGGTTCATCGTCGACACTTTCATCGGGGTGGGACCTATCCTTGGCCTGGATGGTGTCGGCAAGGCTACTACTGTAGTTTTTTGACCTTAGGTTCGCGGTGGCGTGGAAAATCGGAGCTTTAACACACCTTCCATAACCGTCTGTCCCCCCTTATAGGTTCGGCGGGCCAAACCGAGGGTGGACAGTTAGTTCGTGCTCGCTCAGCAGGCCTCGACACTGACAACGAAAATGATCATAATGGAAAATATAGGTGTTGTATACACTTCGACTAAGGTCCTGGTGGCGCTCTCAATAATGTTCCCGACATCGACACAAAACAAACCAACCTCGAGCTGGTCATTGGCAATGGCACAGGTGCCCAAGATGTTGTGCTCACCCCTCCGACCCTGCTATGTATCAAACACTTTGCACTCATTGGTGCCTTGCCGATTTATAAAGTAATCAACATGGTTGAGTTCCCACAGTCTCGCTGATTGAGTTCTGGGGGCTCTGGGCTCCGCATGGCCCCTGCCATGGACAATGAACCTGATGTGGTCTCCAATTCTCTGCGAGTACCTGGATAGAAGGAATCCCTTGAGAACTTAATTATCTGGGGGGTTTAACATGCAGCAATGGTAGCATAGGCTATCAGAATACTTTGAATAGGATTTCTTTAATATTTTCTAGTAATTTAATCATATTTATGCCTATTTTATGGTATGTCCCCCCTGTTAAGTTCGTGGCTTCAATTATGGGGTGGACTGTCCCCCCACATTAGGTTCGGTTCGTGGGGAGGGGGGGACAGGGGACCGAACCTAAGGTCGAAAAAGTACAGTATTGTCGTCTTCAGGGCCTAAGACATCGTCGAGTCCATTGTCAGCCTCATCGATGGTGCTTGTGCGGGCACGTTTGGATGGTGGCGGGTTGGGATTGGTGTTGGACAGCATGTCATCAGTGAGAACACGTTTACCGGTGGTTGCCATGGCAGAGATGAACGTAGGTGGTGGCAGGACTGTCGAGTCTCGTGGTGAAAGATGAGGAGCAGGAGGCGATGCGTCAGCCACCCGACTATTCCCGGGCAGCGTAGCCACCCGGGAAGCCTAAAACTTTGCAGAGAAATAAGCAAGCAGATCGGAGAAGATATACAAGCAACTTACAGCACGATCAGTGACAGGAGGGGGTGCTGTCGCTACGTCGCGTTCAGGCGAAGGCGATACACGCTCCCGGCTGTGATGAGCACGACGGTCTTGGGCACGTTGAGCTAACCGGTTGGCGGCCTGCTGGGCCTGTTCTTTGCGACGACGGCGGTCATCGCGCGTGGCCTCAAGGCACTCCTACTCACGCTGGCGACGGCTGACGTGTTGGCGCTTGTTTGCTGTGTAATCCATGATCAACGTGATTGCTGATTGCTGCGATAACGATGAGTGCTTACCATTAGCTTCCTTGAGCCTTGCGGACTCCTTGCGATCACGGGGCGGCAGGGTACGAGAAACATTTGGTGTAGTAATAGGCATGATGAATAGATGGTGGGGACTGGATAAGGTAATGATGAAGCTGATCTGAGGCTCTAAAAATGAGGGAGAGAGATGAGGTGAAAGACGGTGAACACCCAGCTTATATACCACGGTGGAGCCAGTGGTTATATACTGTTGCGTGAGGGTCACCAAACAAACGATGCTGTTCAACAGACATCGTTCAACAGAGACGCGACGCGACGCGACACATTGGGGGGAGGTGGTAGTGCAAGAGAGAGAGGGGAGTGCGTGACAAAAACTGCTGTCGTTGACATGTCACGCAATCGTCTGTAAGGGGTAGATGTAACTAGTCAGACAGAATCTAGACGCGTCAGCATTAGGGGAGATGGTGACTCACTGATGCCGGATCTCGGAGCGGCTCACCTCCTTATCCATGCCTAAGTCCACTCGTAAACGCACCTCCAAGCCAGCTCCGGCTTATGTCAAGAATACATGCACCAACTGTCTGAAGACTTTTGCGGATGAGGCTGACCTCAAGCGGCATCGATCCCTGATGCCAAAGTACGCTGCTGCTTGGCTGGCCCTGCTTGAAGTGGAGAAGAAGATGAAGGGGACCAAAGGTGCACGGTATCGACAACTTGGAAAACGGCAAGTGTATGCTGATGCTGAAGAGCACACCGATGAAGCAAATGCGCTTGATCAGCTCAACAGCATGGACATAGACCACGAGACACACTTACCAACATTTGACGATGAATATCAACAGACACCAATTGAGCTCCCTCCTATCGGTGTCAGCGACAGCATGCTGGGCGAAAAAAAGCCCCAACGTGGATATGTTGAATCCCATCCGGATGAGACGGCTGGTTGGCCAACAGCCAAGGGCGAGACATCCTACGAGCGAATCAAGCAGGAGCAACTTACAACGGGTTCAAGCGTCTACGGATCATTCAGTGACCACGAGGAGTGGAAACTGGCGCAGTGGCTCTTCGAAAACTGTAGCCAATCAGCCGCTGATCGTCTGCTTAAGATGGATATTGTGAGCTCAATGTTTGTTTAGTTGATGGCTTGTTCACACACCGACGTGTTCACTTGCAGACCCGTAATCGTACGAAGCCCAGCTTTATCAACATGGAGAATTTGAAGGAGAGGATTGACAGGCTCCCCACGCGGCCAGTCTGGGAGTGCATCAATGTTGAGGTGAACACGAAGGGAGAGGTCAAGCGAGCAGACAGTGTGTCGGATGCCAACTCGGATGACGGAGATGATAATGATGATGGGGCATCAGACTTGGAGGCAGATGACGTTGAAGACAAAGGTACGTACAAATGTGAGCCCAACATAAATCCGATGACTGAAGAGGAGACAGAAACGCTTGAGTTGTGGATGCGCGACTCCCTCGAAGCTGTACGTGACCTCATGGGCAGCCCCGAGTTCTGTGACTCAATGGCATACGCACCTGAACGTGTCTATGATGACAAGATGGGCAAGAATAGACGCGTCGACGAGATGTGGACGGGAGACTGGTGGTGGCAAGCGCAGGTAAGCAGTTTGAGGTGAACGTGCACATCTATTGTATATCTTACCTCAACCCAAGGACAAACTTGCGCCAGGTGGGACTGTTGGCGCGTTGGTCATTTCGACAGACAAGACCCAGCTGTCGACGTTCCGTGGCGACAAGCAGGCATATCCTGTCTATCTCACGCTGGGGAACATATCTAAAGATGTTCGACGTCAGCCGTCACGACATGCTGCGACTGTCATTGCGTACCTGCCTACGTCGAAGTTGAAGTTGTTCAAAAACAACTCCCTTGCGTCGTACCGGCTCTTTCACTACTGCATGAAGCAAGTTCTCGCCCCACTGGTCAAGGCTGGTCGGGATGGAGTCGATATCCTATGCTCGGATGGCTGGTACCGACGTGTTCATCCCCTCTTGGCGGCTTATCTCGCCGATCACCCCGAGCAGTGCCTAGTCGCATGTTGCGCCCAGAACCGGTGCCCGAGATGCGTTGTTCCCTGGAATGAGAGAGGGGAGTATGTGGAGTCAGCAAGTCGACGTCAAGTTGACACCTTACGCACCTTGAACCTACAGAATGAAGGGGAGTACCCCGACGAGTTCGTCGCCGATGGGCTTAAAGAAGTCTTCGCGCCATTCTGGGCGGATCTCCCTCACACCGACATCTTTCGCTACATCTCGTCAGACATTCTTCATCAGCTACACCAAGGCATATTCAAAGATCACTTACTCAAATGGTGCCAAACTCTTGTCAATCCAGGTGCCAATCTCGACGACCGTTTCCGCGCCATGCCACCGTACCCGGGGCTGCGGCACTTCACGGACGGGATCTCAAAAATCAAGCAGTGGACCGGGGGAGAGCATAAGGAGGTCCAGCGAGTACTTGTGGCTGCTCTGGCTGGTGCCGTCAACGCGGATGTCCTCACTTCAGCATGTGCACTAATCGATTTTATCTTCCTTGCTCAGTATCATTCGCAAACAACGGAGACGCTCACCCGGATGGAGGAGGCACTGAAGACCTTCCACGATACAAAGGGCACCTTCTCGACACAGCGAGATCACTTCAACCTAGCCAAGCTCCATGCCCTCCTTCATTACATCGACTGTGTCCTTTTCCTAGGCTCTCTTGATGGTCTGAACACGGAGAACACGGAGCGACTCCATATCAACTTTGCAAAACGTGCTTACCGTGCGTCAAACAGGAAGGACTTTATCACGCAAATGGCGATGTGGCTCCAACGACACAAGGCGGTTGCGTGGTGGGACAGGTATTTGGACTGGCGCCTCGAGATTTGCGCAGGTGCAACAATAGGGCTAGATGCGGAAGGCGATGAATTGCAAAGGGAGAGCCAAGAGCCGAGCAAGGAGAGCGTGAGTGTTGGCCGAGTGAGAGGGGAGGGAAAAGCGGATTGTAGTCGTGGGACTGTAGGTGCGTGTACACTGTACAAAATCGGCTGCACACGGTCTCCCCTCAATGACCGCTAACTTGCCCGCGGTATTATAGGTTCTACGCCTATACCCTCGATGTTGTCCTTGCATGGTACCACATCCTCCAACGCGTCTCTTTCACTGTCTGCCTTGTCCCTTTCGACCACTCTCCCTTGCCAACCGCCGGGTGCGGCCACTGCTGGTCATCAACCTCCCACAATTGCGAAGACGTCTCCGTTCCCCAACATGCCAGTCTCATCTCTTATAGACAATTTCGGGGCCCACCACTTCACCACCGCTGTGACCGGCTTTCTCAGAGTGCGTTGTGCACTACGGCCAAACTTCGAACCCAGCGACATTGACACCTACAATGTATTTGGCAGCGCCGTGGTCCACATGAAGCCCCGACCGTTTATCAACGTCAAGAAGCTCGATGTTCGGGTTTACGCTACGCCGCTGGAGGAATTGGGTGGACGCAAAGGTACAGTCCCTCCTCGGTGGGATACCGTACTTGTGGAGGTTGATAGCGATGCACGTCGACATTTTGGTGGCCTAAGTGGTGCGTGACTTCCTGACTGAATGCTTATCTCGTACTAATGTATGCTACTAATCCAGGGCTGCGTGTCGCTGAACTCCGTGTCATCTTCAAGTTGCCATCACATCTCGGAAAGATCAACGAACCTTTAGCATACGTTCACTGGTTCCGCGAGTTGAATGTGAGTGCGATTGAACCGAACTCGGGCATGTTCAAGATATCCAAGTCCACTCGCCATCATCTTCCCTATGGTGAAGTGATCCCTCTATCAAGGATTGTACGTCCTTGTCATATGATCCCATACTTTGGTACTGGACGTGTTCCGCGCGCATGGCTCCAAAGCGCACCGGCGGATGCTCACGATTTTCTGTTAAACAAGTACATTGACGTCGTGATGTTCGAAGACTACGTAGTACATTACAAACAGTACGGTATCAGTATTTAGGACATTTAGCCTACGATAACGTTGGGTACGGTGTTCAATACGACGACATGAGCAACCATCCTACACGAATTGACACACAACGCTGTAGAAGCCGAGGATTCAGCGCTGTCAAATGTCAGTACCAACTTCCGATGTCGGCAACAATATGTCATGCTGTCACAATCGTAATCAAGGTCCGCTGTCAAACAACCTCACTCTACCCCGACAGCGTGGAAAACGGCCTGTCAACAGGCCGTTTTTGACATTTCCTGATGCCGAGTGAGATCTGACATATTATAGTTCTAACAAGTACGTAGTTTCAAGACGCTTACGTAATCAAGATTTACAATATTCCAGCTTGTGTAATTTCTCTGGACTAGATGTTACTGTGATCCCACGTCAGGATGAACACCCCCGTCAGGATGAACACTAATTTTTTTCAACCTCATCTCACGCAAACACTTCAAACAAGTTATATGGAAATTATTCACAGTATCAGTAGAGCTTGTGTGTAAATTGACAAGAGCTGAGGATGTCCCGATGCAAAGTTATAATCCCCAAATCAAAGAAATTGTGTCATAAACGAAAAATTTTCACATTAAATGACTACTGCAAATTGCGTATGCTTCTATTGACTGCTCAATAAAATACCCTCCTTTCTTTGAACCTTTAATGTCTACAATAAAATTAAATTGGGGATGACTGAGGGAACGGGACGGGAATAAAAATTAGAGAAAGATGCAACACTCTCTGCGCGGCTGAGCATGGCTGATATCTTATCTACTGTAGCATTTCGACCAAGCGTTCATCAAAACCTTATGTAATGAAGCGCCGAAGAACAGGCGCCTCGGTCACCGCTGTTCAGGCCCGGTCGTGACGTGTGACAGTGGTCCGCGGTCATCAGCATCCGTGACCGTGCTTCGTCGATAGCTCGAGGACTCTCGCTGTTTAGCCTCGAGGTGCTGCTCCCACTTTCCTTCTCTCGTCTCAGCTGTCAAAATTGCGGCTCCATTGCCAACTTCTCACCTCTGCTATTGGTCCCTCCCCCCTCATTCAATAAGAAAGAAGTGGACCCAGAGCAAACACGGTGCCGAAGGAGCTTCTACCAACTTGGTAGGAAGCATTCTTGAGGATCTCGGTCGGATGGGCGAGGAGTTGAGGCTACAGCGAGTGGATACTTAATGAAAGGGACCGGGACCAAGGTGCGTCGCATGCTGGAATTTCCCTCTAATCATGACTGACTCGCTCGAAAACCTCCTCCTGCATTATGGGCACTCTCTTCCTCCACGCCTTGCAGACTCTCTGCCGCTTTCATCCCTCCCCATTGCCACCTTCCTTCGCTGCTCCCTCCCCCCTCTTGCCAACTCTGACCCTCCTGTTCTGGCTCATGACGCTGTCACTTGTCATATCCCATCAATTGACCCACCTCTCGAAACAATCGCCATCCCACCCCGTTCATATCTTGTCAATCTCGAGAATGCCCTACGCACCCACTTTCATATTCATGGCAACACCAAGCCCTGCAGCTTTGCAGGGCTGGTTCCTCACCTTCACCTCCCCCCCTACGCATTGCCATACTGGTTTGTCATGCGGACAACCTCCGAACTTTGGCAGCAGTGGATGGCTGTGGACCTCACCCTCCGGACTCGTCTTTCCACCACTCTGGCCACCCTCCCTTCGTATCTAGCTCATCTTCCTCAAGGTCTCGAGGAGTTCTTCTCCACCGTCGGGTGGAACACCTGTGTCCATCCGAAGCACAACCTGTACTCTCCCCAGCTCATCCCCCTCTTCTTCGACCAACCACTCTCCGGTACTCTTTTGGACGCTGCTTGTGGCATGCTTGCCGACTGGAAGAGTGCTGGCGGCATATGTAGTGATGTTCATGTCTCTACGCTTGAGGTACAGCATCCCTTTCTCTTTGACAGGCACATCGACTGGTCCCGGTTTGACAGCGACAAGCCCGGTCAACTATCTTTCCTCCGACGTCTCGGTGACGAAGCACGCAGCCGCAGTTTCCAATTCAAGCTTATCTTCCCCCTGCATGTCAACGAAAACCATTTCTCCACTGCCATGCTCGACTTCGCCGACACTTCCATCTGGTACAGTGACTCCCTTAATCGCAACATCAGTGCACATGACCTCCGAGGCATGCGTAACTTTGGCAACGCTCTTGGCCTCACGTTCCAACATTCTATCAAGACACTGCCTCACGCTACGCAACATGATGACTACTCATGCCCCGACATCACGATCAACACCATCGAACGCTTCATCTGGCCAGAGACAAAGCCTTGGACATCAGAGCATGCGAGGGCTGAGCGTCTCGAGTATGTGTTACTCCTGGCGATGCACAAGGGTCTATATTCTTTTGTAAGTGCCCCATCCAATGTTTCTGGCCCGTAGCTTATGTTTCGTAGCCGGCATTAGGCTCCCTCAATGATATCATCACTTCATGTCATGATGGTCGCCGCCTCACTGGGTTACCAACCCCTCAAGCTCTTGGCTCTCCGTCCGGATCCTCTCATTCCTCTACTAGTTCCTCGCTACCTTATTACATTAGCTCTGCTACCGTAGCTCCATCCCCTGCTCCTCCCCATACTGTAGTTCAATCACGAATCCATTCTTTTTTTCCTCAGATGTCGCGCGCTCAAGCTGAGGCTACATGCCTCACAACAAAGCCCGAGCGTCTTGCTGATGCTGAGGAACGTGCACGTTTTTTCGAGGAGGATGACATGTTACGAAAGCTCAAAAACGAGGATACCAAGCGAACCAATGCCAGGAACCAAAAACGTAAGCAACGCTCAAGGGAGCGCAACACTCATGGGGTAAGCTTATTGTCTTTTGAGGTCTGGATTTTTCTCACAAATCAACAGGCAATGGATGTGAGCGTGTCTATGAATGATGTTAACAACGAGGGCACTTCCACATCGTTCCCACCCCTTGGCAACCTGTCTCTCGCCATGCTCACACGTCCCCATCAGTTAACCAAGGATGACTTGCATCTAAACTCACAGTCCAATAACCCTGCACTTGGACGCCCACACACTCGTGAAGTTAAAGACCCGGTACTGGTAGACTGGACGAATCCCCTCTTATTTGAGCATATGCGGGTTGCGGGGATCTTAGCTGGTGCGCAAATGAGTCCGACCGAGATTGTGAAAATCCTACAAGGCCGCCATTCCACTCTTTTTCCCACCATCACATCGCAACAAGTTGGCCGCATGATAGAGACTGTGGATGGCGTGAGACGATGGAAGCCAAGCGTTCTCGAGAGTGTAAGGCGTGCGTTGCTACCTAAAGGACGCACAACAAGAACAGGATCAGGGATCCTGGTACGTTGCTCACTTGTTTGCATGGTACGATACAGTTGCTGACTTTTGCCGACAGGCACCATATCCCGAACTTGAAGCAAAAGTCATTAAACAGCTGCAGACCTACCGCAAGGCTGGCATTCCTGTCTCTGTTGACATTGCACGCGCGATCATGCTTGGCCACATCCAACGTGGTGCCCCTAAACTCCTTGAGCCATCGTCAGGGACAGCTGCGTTCAAATGCTCTGATTCCTTCGTCCGCAAGTTTCTACATACCCGGCTTAACTGGGTTACCCGCGCTGGTACTAAAGCTGCGCAGAAAACCCCTGAAGATGCTTCTCGGCAACTTCTGCAACTTTTCTTCCGCCTCGCACTCACCATCCGCGACTACGACATCCCCGATGCCTCCCTCGTTGTCAATTTCGATCAAACTCAAGTCATCGTAGCTCATAATGACAATCGTACATATGACCAACGCGGCGCCAAGCAAGTCGCAATCACAAATAAGGAGGAAAAGCGAGCCTGGACTGCTGTTGTCGGTGTCTCGGCAAGTGGTGAAGTTCTTCCTCTTCAGGTAATTATGAAGGGATCTACTAGCCGGTCGCTTCCTTCGGCGAATGCACCACGGATGGCAGAAGCCCGTTCCCGCGGCTTCATCTTCAGCCTGAACCGGGACTCATACTGGTCATCTGTCGCGCTCTCGGAGGAGTATTTTGAGCTAATCCTTGTACCATACTTCATTCGGCACAAGGCACGGCTGCACCTTGACGACGACCAGGCATGTATTGTTCTGCTTGACTGCTGGTCGGTGCATCGGAGTGCAGAACTCCGCAGCATTATCTCACGTCGCTGGCCCTGGATCCGGCTCCGTTATGTGCCTGGTGGAATGACACCACTCGCACAGCCATGCGACATGGATATGCAGCGTCCCTTCAAGTTAGCAATCCGACGTGCGCAGCTTCGAGACCTTGTAGATGAGACTGTAGGTCATCTTGATCAAGGGGGTGATGCACCGTTCTTTTGCCTTACAACAGCCATTGGTGTGCTTCGCACCCGTTCAATTGGCTGGTTCGTCGATGGCTGGAATGCTATCAACAACCCTGGTCTCGTCCAACGTGTAGGTTCTCTATTTCATGTTTTGCCTCATACACTTACAGTTCTTATAATTTTGCATGTAGGCGTTCTCTCACTGTGTTGTCCCTGACACAGCCTTCAACCTATCTTTCGAATCCCTTACCTCGCGTGCTGCCCGTCGCGCTCTTGTTGAACTCTCGCACACTGATCCCGCAATGTGGGAAACAATTTCGGCTGACATCTCACTGACCAGTGCCGAAACAGTGGACAACTCCCCTTTCACCACCTCCAACTCCCATGAACTTGACGACACGGCCACAGACCCTGCTGATCTTGTACATGCCATTCTTGCAGCCCCAGACGCAGCCGCCAGCTTGTCTACTCATCTCGATGTTGGCCACCCGGAGGATTTGAGGTCTGAGATACCGGAGGCAGACGAGGAGGACCATGGGGTTGAGATGGGCCGAGGCAAGCGACGGAGGGTTGTTTCTTCGCGTTTTAACAACTATGATGCTCATTAGATCTGTTAATACTCGTTTCCACGCGTTTTTACGCTCAATTTTATGTTTTTTTTGACATTGACAAATTTTCTGGGTCACGGTGTTCAAAACACTATCTGACCCGTGACAAGCGCCAGTCAAGTGTTCATACCATACCCCTGTCGTGACGCGTGACGAACGCTTGGTCGAAATGCTACAGTAATCTGGCCTCATTTGGGCTTATCGAAGCCGCGTATCACTACAGTACCGGACAGGCAAAATCGACAAAAGTAGTGACCTCTTATATTTCATCCAAAAACTATCAGAATCGACTCGAAATGATATAAGGATCTTGCCACCAAAGTTTGAGCGAGTTTGCACGAGCCATTCGTTCAAAAAAGGCGACCCAACACGCTTCTGACCTCCGAAAATTTGGCTGACCCCTTATTTCTCGTCCTAAAATCATGAAAAAAATCGCCAATCGACTCCTTTTGGTGTGGTGCGTATGATTCCGTTGAAATCTTCACGGAAAAATGCTGTGGGAATCACAGAAAAAATTCCGGAGTCAGGTGCGGGGGCACGGGCCGGCCCCTGCCCCTTCCATAAAGGGATGGGGTTGACCCCTAACTTCTGGTCCTTAGTTCTTGCAGCTGAACAGTGCGGCTATACTAATCGGAGAACCCAATGCCTGATGGAATACTTGGCGAAGGTACGGTGAAGTGCAAAATATGGTGATAAACTCTCGACAAAATAACTAACCCTCGACAGAACTAACCCTTGACAGAATTACTAGTAATCATCAACAGCACTGACTGCAACATTAACTTGTGTCTGGTCCGAGTCATAGGAAACTTGCCAGAAAATCAAT